TGGTCCACCCCAGGTGTCATCGCTGAGGGGGGTGACATTTGGCGCACCACCCGCCCGCAACTCTCAAGCCAACCTCAAGCCCTCAGGGGAAGGGGGGAGCTGCGCCGTTTTGCTGGCGGCATCCCACCTTCCCCCTTCATTTTGACAGCTGGGGGAGGCTTGGGAGTATTGGGCAGGCGGCATGCTGAATGTCCGCCATTGGTGGCTTGCTCCGCCCCCATGAGTGGCTTGCTCCACCCCCGGCTGCAGGGTGTGCACGCCACTCCGTGCACCTGAGCAGCTATCCCGTGCTTGGGAGGGCACCCTCCGTGCTCTGCCCCCCCTCAGGAGCATGCCCACCCTGGGCAGCGCAGACATATGCTCCGCTGCTGGGTAGGACACTTTTACGACTCTATTAATGGGGTGGGTGGCGCTGCGGGTTAAACCACAGAGCCTAGGACTTGCCAATCAGAAGGTCGGCGGTTCGAATCCCCGCGACGGGGTGAGCTCCTGTTGCTCAGTCCCTGCTTCTGCCAACCTAGCAGTTCGAAAGCACGTCAAAGTGCAAGTAGATAAATAGGTACCGCTCCGGCGGGAAGGTAAACGGCATTTCCGTGCGCTGCTCTGGTTCGCCAGAAGCGGTTTAGTCATGCTGGCCACATGACCCGGAAGCTGTACACCGGCTTCCTTGGCCAATAAAACGAGATGAGCGCCGCAACCCAAGAGTTGGTCACGACTGGACCTAATGGTCAGGGGTCCCTTTACCTAATGGGGGGGGACTGGAGATGGTGCGGAATTGGGGAGGCAGGTGGAAGTTGGTGGTGTTGAAGGGGCATTTGCACTGCTGTGAAGGAGGAAGAGGGGCATTGGGCGAAATAAAGGGGAATGTGTCTGTGCCTCCTCCTCCTTGCTGTAGTCAAATTTCTCCTGCTTCCATTCCAGATGGGTGGGTATAAATAATAAAATAATAGTAATCATCATCATTATTATTCCTCAGCTACCTCAGATGAAGGATGCAGAACCTCATATGTTCCATAGCACCCTCACACAATGCATTTCACTCCTGGTGTTTACTTCAATGTGAAGTTCTAGATTCAGTGTTATAATTTAGAGTGGGTATTTTATGAACAAGCAGACCACCACCCACATACGTACAACATCCATCATCTGACCTTAACTGTGACTGAACAAGCCCACTGACAGGCTCGCACTGAAGAGTCTGTTCATCTTAAACATGTATTGTCATGGAGTGGGTGGGTGTGCAAAGGGGAATGCAGAACAGGAGAGGAAAGGAGGCGCAGAAATGTGACTGGTCTGTGTGCAAAGGGGAATCTCAAAAAAAGAAGGGGGAGGGGAAGGGGAAGGGGGTGGGGTGAATGTGGGTCCAAAGAAGGGGGGGATGCAAAAAAGAGAAAAGGCAGAAAGCGAATCGGGGTAAAGATGAAAGGAAGGGTACAGAAGGATGGTGGCTTCCTAATTGGGTGGAAGGTGCCTGGTAGTTGCAATGTGTGGAAGAAGGAAGATACAAGAGGTTACATTGGGGTTGAGCTGTGTGCAAGGAGGGGGTTGCACAAAAGGAGGGGGAGACATGGACCTGGGAGTGAAGGTAAAACAGGTGAAGAATGGGGCCGCAGAAGAGAAGGCTTTTCTCTTCTCATTCCAGCAGCAAAAGCATTTTAAAAAAGATTTACTTAGTTCAGAAGTACTACACAAAATACATTATTTATTTGCCTTGCACCCTAAATGGACCACAGTTTGGATCATGTGGCTTGCCTGGCATTCTTGCAATCGATTCAGTAGTATTGTTGGGCCTACTCAAGGCTAAGTACGGTAATTTGAAGGTTTGAAGTCCTGTTCATGCATCCAGAGGATTAGCTGTAAGAGGCTGGCTAACAGTGACTGGCAGCCTGAGGACACTTTAGCTTTAAATGTTATGTTGAAAATATTGGAGGGAGTGGACAACACTGAAAAAAGCATTGTCTAATACTCTGGAAAAGCAGTCTGGGTACTGGGCGAACTGGTTTCAAGCCTTTGTTCTGTTGCTAGGCACTTGACTTATGTGTTGCATTTTTCTCCAGTTAGAGCTACTTGCAATTATTATTTTTTTAAAAAAGAATTCTTTAGCCAACAGCAAAGAGAACTCCTGCCTAGCATGAGATGGTACTATTTGTTTTATACCCCTGGTTTCTGTAAACCAACTGGAAAGTAGATAAGATGCATAATGTATTCTGAATCACCTTGGTTGTGTTTCCCCATTTTTCCAATGCAGCATTCCTCGCCTTTGAAGGAAACAATGCCCTGGCTATGGGCAAATGCAGGCTGCACAAACTGTTCTCTTTAGCCCCCAAACATTGGAGCCGTTTGTCCCACTGTTAAGTGTCAGGCTATGCTGCAACACTATATACAGGTCAGTGCATAGAATCAGTGCTTTTTTTCTAAAAAAAATGTTTAGGGGTAGTCTCATTTTGACTCAAGAAAATCACCAGGAAAGGAAATGAAGCCGCCACTGGAGATGGTAACAACAAAACTGACCTACCACTGTGCTAGATTCCAATTCCTACTTCACACATTAAACACTTGCTTCCGTCTGAGATTCAGGAAACACTGTGACAGGAAATGATGCCCCCATTGGGGTAGCAAAAGAACTGACGATTCACCGTGCTAGAGAAGAAACTAATTTTTAAAAAAACAAAATTCTTTCTTCTCCCGTTAGATTCACAAACTGTTTCGTGGTATGCGTACCCCTGCATCCTCCCAGAAAAAAAGCACTGCACAGAATCATAAAGTTGAACTAGCCCCATCCCTCCTGATTCAGGAAATCTGCTGCTTACAGCCTCTGCATAAAAACCCCTAATGAAGGAGAGACTGCTACCTTCCATGCCAGCCTGCTCTACTGTTGAATAGCTCATACCATCAGGATGGAGGTTCTTGCTGACGTTTAGCCTAAATCCCTTTGTAAATTAATTAATTTATTGAATTTATATACTGCCCCTTACCCAAAGATCTGAGCAGTTCACAAAATAAAAATACAAGATAAAAGCACAAATAAATAGAACAAAAACAAAGCAATAACGTTCCTTCCCCCCATTTTTTTTAAAAGGCTGTAGAATATTGCACAGTTAAAGGCCTGATTGAAGAAGAATGTTTTCGCTTGGCATCTAAAGATGTATAAGGAGGGCGCCAGGCGAACCTCCCTGGGGAGAGCATTCCACAAAGGGGGAGCCACCGCAGAAAAGGCCTGTTCTCATGTTGCTACCGTCCAATCCTCTCGTGAAGGAGGCACACAAAGAAGGGCCTCACACGATCGTAGAGTCCATGTTTTCCAGATTACAATTTTGCTGGCCGAGGGTAATGGGACTTTGGCCTGAAACAGCTGAAGGGACTAAGCTGGCAAAGGCTGTTCCTCACACATTCATTTCCCAGAAACTTGTAGCAAGACCTGTTGCTCAAGCACCTTATAATTATGTATGGATTACGTGGACAAAAAGAAGATTTTCTTTAGCCATTGGAAGGGGAATTATTATTATTATTTTTAAAAAAGCTTTTGTGTTCAGAGGTGCTGAGGCAATACTGGTTGCTGGGTAGCAACAGTATTCCTCCAATTTATTTGACTCTCATAAACCTTCACTTTTACTCCCCTTCCACTCTTTGCTTGGTTTCTTAACAGCTATCTTTTCAACTGTGTTTTCTTACTCTGCTAAGTTGTTTTCATTATATTATCCCACGTTGTAACCTCTACTGCTGCGTATTTTTTGTCAGCCTGTTTTTTTCAGCTACTTATTTTCTTGTTATAATATTTTTCCATATAATCTATATTTAATATCCAGTCCTCTTTTAAATTATCATATTTATTTCTTAATCTATTTGTCATGCTGGTAAATTCTATATATTCTAATATTTTAAGGTGCCATTATTCTCATGGTGGTACTTTATCCTCCCCAGAATTTGGGCAGCTGTGGTTACATCCATCCATAGAATAATTTGATTCTGGGGGATCAGGTTCAGCTTTTAAGTGTGATCAGTGTTCAAGGTTTTGATGACACCTTTTTCATTTGGAGTTCTTCAACTTGCATATCAAAATCTTTCTGTCCAAAATATTGGAAGGAGATATTTCTGCAATATTTCAAGACCTTTTTGACTGGAGGAGAGAGATTAAAGTTTATTGATCGCAACATACTGGGTAGTTTGCCGCCGTGCAGAAATATGCGTGCCTGTGAAGTGCTGTCCTGTCCACGTACTTGTGAGTAAACAGGGTTGGACTGCAGCCTTGATTCAAAAACAGCAGCCTGCATCAAAACACTAGGATGCTTGCACCAGTGGAAGCTGAACTTGTGAACATGCCCTTTAGACTCCTGAAGGACTTCGAGCCTTCTCTTGGCAGGGATGCAGGAAGCTTCACTTACGTGTTTCGGACTTGTTAAAACCACAGAGTGGGGGCTGGGGGAAAGCTGGATTCCCTTGACTTAAAGGCGGGAGGCTGGCAACGTCGGAGCCTGAGTTGGGCGCTGCCCCTTTAAGAGCTCCTCTTGCCTTGATCTTCCTGCTGGGGAGCTGGGAAGGTGCTGCCGCGGCGAGGAGGCGGTGGCGAGGCGAGGCCAGAGTTGGCCCTCGGAGATCAGACCCGGGATTGAGGAAGGCAGGATCCCACCCTCTCTGCGGCTGCTGCGAGCAACGGTATGGCGTCCCCCTGGGGCACTCGGAGTCCTCTTCAGGCCAGGCGAGGGGATCTTCCTCAAGCCAACCACGCGGCGCCCTAAGGAGTAAGTGGCCAAGGCGCGGACTCGGCGCTTCTGCCTGGCGCAACCGATCCCGCCATGGGAGCGCAAGTCTCGAGCGCAAGGGGGATCTGAAGTGCCTCGCGAGCGGATCAAGCGCCTGGGATCGCCGCGGGATCCGGGCCGCCACCTGTTGCTCGGAGCGCACAGCCAGCCTCGCTGCGCGTCCGGGAGGGGGCGGCGGCGGCGGCTGCGTCTCCTGCTTTCCAAGCGGCGCTGCGCCTCCAGTTGCGCCTCTCCGGGAAAATGGAGAGCGACGGACTTTCCAGCGCGGACCAGAAGCTGATCCGAGAGAGCTGGGAGAAAGTGAACAGCAGCCCCATCGAGCACGGCTTGGTCTTGTTTACCAGGTAAGGGGGAGAAGGGAGAGGGGCAGGCTGGGCTGGGCTTGGTTGGAGGGAGCACGTGCGAGGCCAGATGCCTTAAAGGAGGAAGATTGTAAGGGGGAATCGAGGATCTGCCCGGGAGAATCAAAGAGCCAGGTGTGTCTCCACGACGCCTGAAGCGGAGACGGTCCTTTGCAAAGCAGACCATCTTGACCCAACTTGGTTTCACAGCTTGAAAGACTCCGGTGAGAAACTTTGTTCCACCTTCTCCGCCACGATCTTTACGCTCCATATTTCCAGAGTCTCCATGCTTAGATTTGTTGGTGGTGAATCTCTACTAGGAACGAGCAGGCTCTTTATAGCAGGGGTTTGGTTCCTCTTCACACATCACAGGGGTGGGACGTCTAAAGTGGTGGCGGCGAAGCGGGCAGATCGTGTGTTAACGAGTGTAGACCCGTTTGGTTATTTGCAGGTGATTTATATGTGACACAGGTGACAGACTTGCTTCCAACATGGAAGTGTTTTCCTGTGCAGCCAAAGTGTAATAATAGGTGAAGTAAAGTGCCTCTCTTTCTAAATTAGCTTGGGGTGTGTGTGTGTTTTTTTTAATAAAAAAAACATTTATATATCACTGTTTCATGTCGGTGCCTAACAAGACTGCTGTCTGGGCTTGAGAAGAGACTACCTGCAGGTCGCATAACACCTCTGTGCTGGGGCTCTTCTTGTCCCAGAAGTGCAGGGCTGGTTTCAGCTAGTTTCTAACCCCCCACTATAAATAAAAATTTAAACCACAAACAAGAATACATCTATATATGGGGGTAATGAGCTGTATACAATAAAATAAATAGAAGACAAAAGCCCAGACAATATTTAACATTATTTAGAAAGGATACTGAAGTCTACATTTAATATAAATAAAACAGCATTGAATTAGGTTAATTAAATAATTTCTCTTTCTTACACCCCCCCCAAGACACCAGGACTTGACTTGAGCTACAGCTTGTTGCTAATACTGTATTTGCTTTCAGTTCCCTGGAGTATCCCTAGAATATGCAAAGTAATGAGTGCCACTGAGCATGTGCAGAGCGCCTTTTAATAAAGACCAGTCAGTCACAACAAACCCATGTAAATATGTGATGAATAGTTAAGGTGGCAATTTTGTATGAGCTTACCTGAATGTAAGTCCCAGACACATATAGGCTTGTGCTGCAAGGCTTCTGGGACAGAAAGAGGGGACTCCTAGACAGGCTTGAGTTCCAGCAGGACTTTTTTCATTTCAGAAAATGAAGCGTTCGATGAGTCCAGACAGAGAAAACAGCTTGTGCAGTCCTGTGAAGGCTTACTTTGGCATAAGCTTGGGCAACATAGCACCTCTATGAGTTCGAAGGGTGCAAGTATTGATGTGATTTTCATATGAAACTCCATGAGGATTAAAGGCCAGCAAGCTGTTTAAAAAGACAGGCCAAGAACACAGGAAGAAGGTTGTGTGAGCTCTGAGTCTTCCCTTTGATATCTTCTTGCAGTTGTGGCAGAGATGAGAGCTTTCTCTTAATAAGGGAGCAGCTCCACAGTCCTCAGCTCTGCAGAGTGTATCAGAGCGGCTTCCTAATTGCATGTGACATGGCGATCACCGGAGCCAAGGCCAGGCCTGGCCCTTGGGGAGAGGCTTGATTCATTCCGGGATCAGTCCCAGGGCAGAGGAAATGGTGCATGTGAGAGAACAGCTGAGTGCCCGGGTGCATGCCATTAACCCTGAAGTTGAGGAGTACAAAGCTGGGAGACGCAGATGGGACAAAGGCTTGGCGCCTCTGGAAGGCCATGCTTGGTTTTATAGGAAGCAACAAACTTTATTTCTCCATTCACAGAGGGGTTTGTGCAGAGGCTGCTCTGCAGCCAATGTTCACCCACCTGCTCCCAGCCACTCTTTAAGTTTCCATTGTATAGACAGGAAAACCGAGGCAGGTAAGCGTGGCTTTCTCAACATGGACTGAGGAGAGTCTATAGTGTGGAGAATGGGATTTGGAACCTAGGAAACAAGTGACAGATCTTGGAATCTCAAATTTCAGGGGTGCCCTTTGCAATGCCAAAATCCAGTGTCCCCTCGCCTTCTGTTAGATGTCATAGTTGCGGTGCCCCAGAAGCTTTGCGCCTGGTGTGACCAAACCTGTTGTGCTCCCCTAGATCTGCCTTTCATATAAGGTCAGATCATTTGTGTACTTGTCGACACGTGGCTGGCAGTGGCTGTCCAGGATCTTGAGCAAAGGTCTCTCACATTGCCTCCTATCTGATCCTTTGTTCTTTTTAATTGCAGACATAATAAATCGAACCTCCAGCCTTCAGCATGCTCTACCCCTGAGCTATGATCCCTTCTCCTACACAGAGAACAGAACTGTTTATCTGCTGCTTGTGTGTGGTGAATGGCAGCCTGTCCATTGAAATTCCACTTGCTTTGTCTGACTTTGGGACTGTTAGATTTTAGTTTCCAAGAATCAAGTCCAATCAGTGGCAGAGCTTCATGCTCCAGCACCGGGGGGGGGGCGGAGAGCAGGTGGGGGCGGGGCTGGCATGCGTCCTGGGGGCGTGGTGCTCAGCGTGGGCAGGGGGGCAGCCGCGATGGCACCCCACCAGTATTTCACTGCTGGGGGTGGTGCACTCCCCTCGCACTCCTCTTCCTCTGCCAGTGAGTCCAACACAGTCAGCTCCAGCTCCCCATGTAGAATATGGTTGGGTGGAGCTGGTAATATAAAATGGGCAATGCAATGTAGGTAAGGTATCCTTTAAAGTGGTGTGCAAACAGCTTCTGGGAATTCTCTGCTATGTTTATAGGAGATTTCTCCTGTGGGAAGATAAATTATTCTTTAGTAATTTTTCAGGGGTGGGGCTGACTATTGGCAGTGAGGAACGGAATCAAAGCTTCTTTCTTTTCTACTAAGGGTTTGTGTGTGTGTGTGCGCGCACATTGCTGATACTACAAATGGCTGCAGGATCTGTGTTGGTCAAGTCACCATTTGCTTTTTCCACAATGACTTGGACTTGGTGTTGTTTCAGGGCTCAGGTGGGTGACAAACACTAGTGAGAGAGAGAGAGAGAGAGAGAGAGAGAGAGAGAGAGAGAAAGAAAGAAAGAAAGAAAGAAGAGAACATTGGGGGGGATATGCAAAGTGGCCTTTTTGGGGACAGGGTGAAGAAAAAGAAAAAAAAATAGACATTCTTTCATGGGGTTGGACTAGATGACTCTTAGGGGCCCTTCCAACTCTGCAATTCTATGATTATTGTTTTCTCAGTAAAAAATGCCTTATGGGAAACTGAATAGCTGTAGTACTGCTCCATTCAGTTAATTAATAAACACACAACTTTGTTTCTCTGGGCCAAATGCAATAAGACCCACTCAATGAATACGAAGACGAAATTATCAGAGGGTGCTTAAAAGTTTGGAAGGGATGCACAAAGCTTCAGAAGGAGTAGACAAATGAGAAAGCGACAGGTTAGCAGGCAGAATTGTGTTCACATGGGTTCTTCAAGAGTTCAAATGTAAAATTGTTAACTAAGGTATGTACGGTAATTTAAAATCAGCAAACTTTTCCAGCAATTGCTGAAATGGTCATTGTAGCACCTGTATTTTCAGCAGGAACCAGGAAATTAGAACCCTTCCAGACAATTCTATACTGTATTGTACAATATGATGGAAATCGTTATTAAGGCTAGTTTATCTATTGAATATGTAACACAACAAAACTTGTGGAAGAAGAGTTGGCTTTGTGTCTCCAAAGAGATGTCTTGCTTCACTAACTCCTTTAAGTGTGTTGAAAGTATCAACAAAAATGTAATGTAGAGGGGGTGGTTAGCCGAACATTGCATACATAGGCTTTGTGTTTGTTTTTAAGAGAGCTTTTTAGCAAACACTCCTTTCTGTGGAAAGTCAACAGTCAGAAATGCACCCTCTTATGCATTCAAACCATCCTCTAGTTAAAATCCAGAAAGCTGTGGTTAGGAATATAGGCATTTTTCATCATAGAGGAAAGCAAATTATATGGAGTGAGGCTGGTACTGTTTAGATTATTTAATAATTATCTAGAGTCAGTGACAGAGCTACCTTGTGCATGACACAAAGTTATTAATAGGATGTTACAACTGCAATGAGCATAGATGTGGTGTTGTTTGTTTAAAAAACAGATAAAGTGACAAAGCACAAGCCTACCAGTGACCATTGTCTATGATGGCCTAAATGGACTGTCTACATTCTGTGGCGTAGCTGTTAATAGTTTGAGCGAGGAACGCTCTGTTTCAAATCTCATCTCCTTACTTCATAACTCTCAGCCTCCCTTCTGCAGCATGCGGAGAATACCGACCTACCCTACTGATTGTTGTAAATGTTGTTGAGGTAGGCCAGTATTCTCCTCATGCTGCCAGGTAGTATTATGAAGTCTTTGTAGCAATTTTTTATTTTGCAAACTGCTTTATAGCCCCTGTCTGATGGACGACACCAGTCTCTTGCATTACCATGACTTTGAAGGATTGCGAGTTTTGAGTTCCTGCATGGAGCAAACCATTCTTTGAGATACCATTACATGTTTTATACCACTGTATAAAATTGTTAAGCGAATAGCAGAGAGCAGAATTCAGGCTGGTATATGGAACGATATTGCAACAGATTCTCGTTCCTCCTTATTAGTCAGGAGAGATGTGTACCATATAAATAGAAAAAACGGGTTCCTGTCAATCTAGGAGGTGAATTACCAGAGAGATGCGCTTAGGGAGGCAGGCAGGGTTGAAAGGGCACCAGGGATGACATGCATGTGTGAAATGCAACCTGGCAACGAAAAGCTGATGTGGATTTTGGGCTGTGTCAGGGAATGAAGAAGGGAGAGTCTAATCTCAATGCCGTCTGGAGGTGAAGACCCTTTGAATGTTGTGTTAAGAGACTGTGGTTAGTGGGTATTTTGACAATGTATGTTGGTGGGAGGCGCAGAAGGGCAGAACAGATCCTACTGAAGGGAGTTTGGAAACAGGCAACAAAACAAGTCATTGCTACGAGAAGAACTGAGGATGTTTTCAACACATCTTATGCTCTTTTGCGCAAGGGTGGTAACTTACAGCGCCTGTGGTGGAGTAAATGGTGTGTGCTAAACTCAGCCTTTTTTTCAGAGAAAAGCTTGATGCTGGCGATCTTCCAGTGCTCTTGCAAAACACTTATGATGTTCTCAGATTTTTCTGCTATCCAGGTCTTTGTCACTTCACACATCCTTCTCTCTGTGCGTGTCTTTCTGTCTCTGCCTCTCTAAAACAGCGTCTTCGACCCCCTATCATTGCTACGATCTAGCAGTGTGATGCTACAGCACGATAAATGGAGATTGCTGTTTATACCAGGAATGAATGGACTCTTCCCCATTTCTTAAACACATATTTGAGTGGGACGTTTCTACACGCTCAGCTGAGAAACTGGCTTCAGTCCCACTCCAAGCATAAGAGCACCATGAGATGAGCAAGGGGAAAGGGGCGATGGCAGACCTCCATTTGCATTGCCTTCCCCAACTGGGCAGGCTGTGCTCGCAGGGAGAGCTCAAGTGACTGGGAAGTAGTGATAAAACAATTAAAGCATTTTAAAATTTGTTTAAAACAAGTCCAATACAGATGGAGATTGGGAAAGATTGCTACCTGAAATGCTTGTTGATTCGGGGAACATTTTCAGCCGGCACCGAAAAGACAACAGAGATAATGCCTGAGAGTTGTGCTGGGGCTCCATTTTTCTTTCCCAGAAACCAATTGTAAAGGGACAGGGGAAGTTGTACCGAGAGAAGAAAAATGCCCTGGGTGGTAATCAACTAAGTTTTACTCCGTGTATACCTATTGGAATTAATGAATATTACTAAAGCCCATTCATTTCAGTAGGTCTACTTTTGGAATAAAACCTAGTTGAGTACCACTCCTTGTCCTCTGTTGTACCTGGTTTGTTTTCCTGAAGGCAGGCTGGGCATGAGGGGAGACTGTACTGACTGGCTTGCTTTCTTGGGCCTCCCCAGAAGCTAAGATGTTCCATGAGGATGGGAAAGAGAGATGAGATGGGATGGGATGTCTGCCCGATTTGTATGGAGGCCAAATAATTGTTGGGTTGATGTCTTTCAGGCTTTTTGATTTGGACCCTGACCTCTTGCCCCTTTTCCAGTACAACTGCAGGAAGTTCGCTACTCCTCAGGAGTGCCTCTCGTCACCCGAGTTCCTGGAACACATTAGAAAGGTGAGAGGTGTAAAGGAGTCCTTCTGGTAATTGTCTTCAACTATAGCAAAGGCTATGCTGGCAAGTGGCAGTGGGGTATCCTGCTTAGCGTGTTTGGCTAGGGCCTGGGAGGCATGGATTCAAATCCCCACTCTTTCATGAAGCTCTTGGGGTGAAAGGAGCTTGTTGAGTAAATCTGGGCCAGTTGTTCTCTCTCAGATGGACCTACCTTACAGGGGATCAAATGGTATACAGGTGACCTTGCACATTTTCCTGAGATGCTTGGAGGAAGATTGGGATAAAAACTGCAGTCAACAAATACAGCTTCAAGCTAAAACTCTCTTGCTCTGCCCCAACAGCCTTTTGTGTATCCTCTTCACCAAGAAGTATCATTTAACACAAAGTCAGTAAAATTATAATAAGCTATTATTTATTCTACACTGCCAGGGAATGGGGAAATATTAATTGGTGCCTAGTTCTTCCCATGTGTTTTGATGATCTGAACTACTTGTATGACATGAAGGACCACTGTTGTCTAAGAGGTACCTGTAAAAAATTACCTGGGGTGGAAAGTCGTGAGCATGAATCTATCCTGATTACTTTTCTGCGTGCAAAAAATGCATTTTTAAAACTAATATAAATCTATTAACTGTATTAGATTAGGAATGAGTTTAATCACATTTAAATAATTAGATTTAGCTTAGCAAAGCAAGCAGGAAGGACAAGTATGAGCTTAACTCCAAGGGTGTGTTAAGAAAATATTGAGACAAGGGACCCTACAGGGGTATAAGCAACCTTTCTTTTCTGACTGACTTTTGACCTAGCTGTGGGCTGGTTTTAATAGAATGTTTTCTGCTGCATGCCTGGTGTTTGGTGTTTGATTATGATATGTTTTTAATTTGTTTTACTTTGTCCCTTTTGATGAATTTTCTTTTCATTACCTCCATTGAACAATGTTTCGTTGGAAAGTCAGGAAAGAAATACAAATATAGAAATAAAATAAATGAGGTGGTTTGATAGGGTGTTTAGATTGTCAGATTAAAAGAGAACAAGTTTAGTCTAGCTCTCCCCCACCCCCAAGGATGGCTAGTCAGGTTTTATTTATTTTTCAGCATTTTTGTCCTGCCTTTCTGCAAAATAGGGTGGCAGAGTACAAATTGTGAAGAGGTGAGCTAAAATTTAGTTGAAACAGTCTGTTGGACAAGCAAATAAGAGGATGACATTGGTGCAGAAACCAGTAGCAGTCAAAAATCAGCCTCAGAAAACACTATCTTTAAAAAGCCTGGTGAAGAAGGAAAGTCTTAGCTGCTTTGTTGAAAAACAAGCAGCCATGGGGCCAGGTGAGCTTCTTTTGGCAGAGTGTTCAATGGTCTGTATCCCAACACCGAAAAGGCCCTGTCCCTGCCAGGCTTCAGACTCAAGTAGGCAGGAGACATCCAACAAGAGCCTCAGTAGATCCATACCCTCCAACATTTCTCTGATGAAAATAGAGATGTCCTAAGGAAAAGCAGGATCAAATCAGAAACCGAGACAGCTTCTGTAAATCCAGGACTGTCCTTGGAAAATAGGGACACTTGGAGGGTCTGTAGATGATCATAAAGGTTAGGCAAGTGTGTGGAAAGAATTCTCCAGATACTCTAGTAACAGGTCAACTGGGCCTTTAAAAGTTAAAACACTTAGAATTGAGCCCAGAAATGAATTGGTAGTTGCTGTACTGAAGCCAGGTCTTGTAAACATTCTGGCAGCTGCATTCGGGACCAGTCAAAGCTTATGAACTACAAAGGCTGAGCCACATGGAGCACATTAGAGTAATCCAATCTGGAAGTGACCGCAGCATGAATAGCTGGCTACTCCTGGCTTTTCAAGGGAAGCATGCAGCTGACACACATGCTGAAAGATGGTACTTCCAGCCACAAGATCATCCAGTTGCCAGGCTGGGTCTTGGAGTACTGCCAAGCTGTGGCTGACTTTTAAAGGAGTGTAACTATGTGCAAAAGAAACAGAACACCAGAGTTTCTAACACCAAACCCTCAACTACCCATTGCCTCTATTTTGTCTGGATTAAACACCAGTTAGTTCACCCTCATCTGCACCAAAACTGATGCCCTTAAGGACTTTTAGAGGCAGGGCACAGCAGAACCACCCCTTCTTGCTTGTTCCATTAATTGGTAATCAGATCTATACTCTCTCTGGGTACAGAAGCTCCATTTTTAGCTATCATAGCTAATTGCCAGTGGTAGATTGAATTTGGCTACAAAATCACAATGGGCACGCACCTATTAGGAAGTAAATCCCATTCATATCAAGGGGGCTTGTTACCAAGGAAATCAGCTTTAGTTATATGGCTGTGAGTTCCCCTCTGCCCAAAATCAAAACTCATGCAGGTGGTAAGAATGGCAGAGCAGCCAGGAGGGCTGAATTTAAAATTGGGCAGTAAGGTTTCTTGTAGCACCAATCTGCCAGATAATGTGTCACTGTGATGTGTCCCTTGAGAGTCATGCATGACAACTGCATGGACAACCATGCCCATCTGTTTCGGCAGGCCACACTGTTGTAGCTTTTCAACATGTGTAAACGCTACTAGAAGAGGTAAGTGTATGGGAGATCAACACACAGGTGATTTGGGTTTGGTTTCCAGGTTTTTCCTTGCACACACATGCTTTCTGCATAAGGGTTTTGTAACATTTGCTGGAGGCCCTAAATGGCAGGATTGGTGTAATAGACGGATATAAATGGTGTTTAAATACAGATTTCCTTCAAGCATGCCCTTTCATCTTGACCCGAGCTCTCAGGCTTATGGAGATATCCAGAACAAGCCTTTCAGAGTCTCTTATAACATTTGCAGAAGGCTTTTAGAGTGCCTTTACTTCCATAAGGGCACACCAGATTGTCCTGTTTGTCGTTCTGTCTGCTTGGTAGGTAATGCTGGTAATAGATGCAGCCGTGACTCATTTGGAGAACTTGCAGTGCCTGGAAGAATACCTTGCCAACCTGGGTAAGAAACACCAGGCAGTTGGTGTGAAGGTGGAGTCTTTTTCGGTAAGGAGCCTTTTTGTTTTGAGATGTATCTGTGGCACTGTTGACTTGCTTTTAATTCTTCCCTCAGCTTTCCAGGTTTGTGTTGCAGGAAGGGACATGTTGGGAAATCAGTACAGATTGAGGAGGAGGAACAAGGCCATGGAGGGTTTTGAGAGGACAAAAAACTTGCTCAGGATCCCAGAGTGGATGGGAAACCAGTGGGGACAGTTAAGAGGGGAGGGTCACATGGTCTGAATATGTCACAAAATATGTGAGCAGACTTCTGAGCTGTTTTAGACCTGGGTGGATGAAGGAGAGGGGTGCATGGCAGAGGGAAAGTTGGGGTGACGTAAGAGCTACGACGTCTGCAGTTGAGATAGTTGTAAGTCCTGGAGGAGATTTACAGACTGGATGAGATTAGCTTTCTGAAAAATTCATTAGCCATTACTCAGCTCAGCCTACAGCTTCAAGCAAAACTTGCAAGTTCCTCTGATGCAGAGAAGTAAAAAGCAAGGTAGTCTATTGTTAGGCAAACTGGGGATAAATAATGGTTGACAGCGCCAGTAAGAGCCAAATTGAGAGGATTACTTGGAACCTGGAGGGCGTGTACCTCCACCATCACTCTGAAAGTAAAGTTCCATTTTTTAGATAGTAGAAAATCACCCCCACCCCTTCCTTAAGAGCTGCTTCTTTTTGAATGCTGATTCTGCTGTCTCCTGTTTGATTTGCAGGCTGTGGGCGAATCCTTGCTGTATATGCTGGAAAAATGCCACGGTCCCGCTTTCAATGTGAATGTGCGTGAGGCCTGGACCAAGCTGTACAGCATTGTGGTAAAAGCCATGAGCTGCGGCTGGGATGTTCCCAGAAAAGTGGAATAAACCTGGACCCAGGATGCTTGAGTGGGAACAGCTCCGAGGAGAAAGCAAGCTTGCCTTTCTAGCTCTGTGTATTTCAGAGTAATCTCAACATTTCTGTCTCTCTTTCTCGTTTTACTCTTGCATTCCCCATCTTTCTTGTGGTAATGTGACGACGCTCCCCTATTTCAGTGTTGCAGTTCCACGTATCTGTTTGCAGGGGGCAAAAGAGAGCCAAGCCGGAATTAAAAGCTGAAATGCCAACTGCAGCTAGCGGCTTTCCTTCCAAAAGGCATGTTATCATTCTCTTTATTTCCCCATTGCCTTTCGAAGAGTAATTACAAAGATTTCTTAGCACAGAAGGATGATTGTACTAGCTTTCCCCCCTTGAGATTGTGAGCCTGCGATTGTTTCAGTGAAGCTAAGCAGGAGTGTGTGCATTTCCTTGGGATTATCCAAGCAGCGTAGCTTCCTTCCCCCTGCCTTTTAAAGTGGGTTAAATCTACAGTAACGCTCCTGTTTGTATGCCTGAGCTGCTAGATGGTTGGATTTTGAAATGCTTGGCCACAAGTTAGAACTTGAAAGCCAGTGGGAATGCAGCAGCTGCCAGTTCCCTGAGCATGTGGAAATAAAATCTTGTAGTGAAATTAGTGACAGATGCAGCTTTTATCCTGGGGAAAGCTTCCAAAATTCATCCTGGATTCTGGCCAAAGGAGTGTCTGTAGAATAAAATCCATTTCTGGGCAACTGCTTTTCTGCCATTCCTCCCTTCCCCAGGCATTTCTGGTATAGCCTTCCAGGTGCTGGACAGAATCCTCCTTGCTCTTTGCCCAAATCTTAATGAAAGCAACTTAGTTCTTGGGGTTGTTTTGGAACCCAGGTGGGGGTGGGAGTAGGAAATCTAGAAAAGAAATTTTTTGGTGTGGTGGATGAACATTTAAAACTCCCCGTCCCTTGCTTTTCAATCTAGGTGCAGATAAGGCCCCTAAGAAAACTTGAGGTGGGCCAGGGGTGGTCTGGTTGTATCGAGAGGAGGCAGAGGGTGTGTGCATTGTCCTGGTATGGACAGTACTTCTTGATGACTGACAGGGGTTGTTGTGGTTCCTCCACTTAATCTGCTATCTTATAGGTGGCCTAGGAAAACTGATTAGGCAGTGTGAACGGTCCCACTGTCACCATTGGTAGAGAACGACCAGTGGTTGACATTGGGCCCCTGAAAGGTAGCTAAAGTTCACTAAAGTTCAGTTTAGCAGGCCCAACCGTCAAGGCCTGGGAGCCCTAATTCGGCCCATGGCTGGAGCTCCCTGTCCCAGTAGAACTAGTGACAAACAATTTACTGGGCCTCTGGGAAGCCACTTTTTTTGCTTGTGCTTTACGCATGATCAACAGACCAAATGCAAGTCCTACCCGGTCATATATTGTGATTTATATACGATATGTGAGCTTCCATACGAAGTGCCAACAACTGCCCGCTCGCGATCGTGAATTTGGTTCACGTGTGAGGGGAAGCCGTTGTGTGTCAAAGCTTAGTTCAGAGATGTGTTTGAGTTTGTTGCAGTGTTTGTCGGGAGGTGCGTGCCTTTTTCTGTTTTGTGAGCAATTTCTTTTTCTGAGTTTTCCATCATGTCTCTCTATTTAAACTCCAAAGCAGCCTAGGGACAGCTATTTTGAAACGTGCTGAGAGCTGCACAAAAGGGGCAATGCCAGCAGGGATGGCTGGTGCCCATTGGGGCAGAAAGCAGAGAGGCCCAACTGTAGGTGGAGCCAATGACAGGCAGAGCCAATAATTCTAGATTCCCCCCCCCCCCTCATTCTAGTTCCTCCCTAGGTGTTGAGCACTAGCTTAGTGGGATCAAACCTTCTCTTTTTTTTATTTTTTTGGGGTGTGTGTGTGTATTGGAAGTGACATATTTTGTATACTCGCAACCCAGGTGGGGAGGATACAGAGGCTCTAGTTCCTCTGACAATTTATCCCTTTGTCCTCCCTGCTCAAATACCCCAATCTCAGGAGGACACTTTCAAACAGCTCTAGGTTTGTGGAAGTAGATCAGATTCCTTTGTTATCCCTCACCCTAAACTTATTGTGAATGATGGTGGCGGTGAGAGTCCTAGTAGCTGGATAAAATTTAAAATTCCTAGAGGCAAACAGAAAGTTGCTTCACGGAATTAGCAATTGAGAAAACAAATATTAATGACCCAGACACGGTCACATTCATCCTTCACAATATAAGAACTGTGTTTAAATGCACTGATTTCATGCTGTCTAGAAAAGAGAACCTGAATCCTCAAACTAGGGTTTTTGAAATTATTTGCAGAGCTTTGTATTAAACAACTGTGTGTCCCATGACATTATATAACTGCAAGCCAGTCTTATAACCATTGTGACTGAGGCCTAGTTCTCTGAAGCAGCAGGGGAGGAAATAAGCCTATTTCTGGGTTCCACTGCTTCAGACTCTGGCAGGGAGGGTAGACTTATGAAACTGAATTGTTCTCTATACAAAAACATTTGCTGCACCTAGAAAATTAAATACCAAGGAGAAAGGGGATAGCTTACCCCAACCCCATGTGTATAAAGCTGGGCCCTTTGTAAGCTTTTCACAGCTCTCTTCACGTTTTGTGTGTGCCATATTTTATTGCATTCCAAAAGAAATAAAAAACATGTTGCTGTATCTCAGACCTGTTTGGGGTGTTGTGGGTCTCCTGCAAAGTAAAAAATGTTATATTTCACTTACTTGGGAAAGTAGCAGCGTGAGAGGAGTATAATCTCAACACTCTCTTATACATGTCAGTCTTGTGTGTGGCAGCTGTGAATAAGGTAAATTCTGGCTTGGGAACAGTCTGGAAAGACTGCTATGCAAATTTTATGCTATACATAAAGCTGCTATACAAATTCTGTGGTCGAACCAATATGGAATAGTTCTGGTTGCCTTGCAGAGCTGCAAAAGATGCAGAAATTGGGAGCTCAAATGATCAAGGGGCTGATGAAGCAAGTCCCCTATGACTAAAGGTTGCAATGTTTGGGACTTTTCAGTTTAGAAGAAAGGTGAATTGGGGTGAAGCATGTGTGTTATTATGTATGGTGTGGAGAAAGGGAAGGTTTTCTGCTTCATAGTACTTCATCCGATGAAACTAAAACGCTGGGAGATTAAGGACAGAAAAAAAGGAAGTTCACCACACAGCACAGAATCCACTATCACAAGATGTAGTGATAGCAACCAACCTGGTTAGGTTTGAAACATGATTAGACAAATTCATTCAGGTTACCAATAGCTACTCACCATGGCTGTGTACTACCTTCAATACTAGAAACAATATGCTTCTGAATACTAATTGTTGGGGAACATGAGTGGGGAGAATGTCCTGCTTAAGAAACTCATGCACTCAGTCATGGTAAGAACAAGATGTTGGACTATATCTTTCTTTGTATTTGATCCTGGAGGGCTTCTTATACAAGCTATTCTCTCCTCTGGAAAGACTAAAAAGGCACGCTGATCACGGGGTCACAGTCAGTTGTATTGCATTTCACTTGTTGTAATTATTTCTGAATCTGCATCTTTACATATAAATTAGCACGTGCTCCTTTTTAGTCATGTGTAGTGGCCTCATCACCCTTTTTGCCATCCTCCACTGCCATCATTGAGAAGGTTGCAGGTGTGGGTGGATGTCTGGAAGCTCTCCTGGGTCAGGGCCAGGTGACTAGAACCGCAAGAGTTCCTCTGAAAGTGAGGGGGAATTTACCATCCCTATGGTTTTATACCAAGCATAAGAATCCTGGCAGGAGGGAGCTAGCTTTGTGGGAGCTCCCATTTCCATAGTAACCAGAGCAGGAGTTTGTCGAGGCAGATGGCTGCCTACAACAGCAGCAGCAGGTATCCTTTCTCATTACCAGAGTGGTGGGGACTTGTCCTGGGTGGGAGTGAGGTTATCAGAGGCTAAAAAAATACCATTTCTTAGTTTGACTAGGGATGCACTGGCCAAGCAGCTGAAGGACAGGCTCCTTTGCTACAGACCCTCGGGTACCGAGATTGGCAGAGGGGGCCCTCTTGGGAGTTCCTCTGCTCTGAGGCTTGGGGTAGTGGCGGCCTGGAATAGGGCACTTTCTGTGGCAGCCCCTAATCTGCAGAGCTTGGTTCCCACAGAGGTGTGTCCAACACCTTCATTATACAGCTTCCGGAGGATGCGGAAGATGCAACTCTCCAGCCTGCCTTTTGACACTTGAGGTGTATATTTTCAGGACTCACCTTATTTTTGTGATTTCAAGTTGTTTTAAACTGTTTTTGATACAGAGTTGGAGGGGCTCCTGGGGGCAATCTTATCCAGCCTCCTGCAATGTGAGGAATTACAACTGAAGCATCCCTGACAGATGACCATCCAACCTCTGCTTAAAAACTTCCAAGGAAGGAGAGTCCACCACCTTCTGAGGGAGTCTGTACCAGAGTTGAACAGCTCTGTCAGAAAGCTCTATTGCTTGGGCAGAATCACCTTCCTTGTAATTTGAATCCATTGGTTTGGGTCCTACCCTCTGCAGCAGCAGAAAACAAGCTTGTTCCATCTTCCATGTGGCAGCCCTTTGGCTATTTGAAGGTGGCTATCACACCACCTAAACTACTTGAGTTTTCCTTCTCATTATGCCCAAGACCTTGCTCTGTCATTGAACAAAAGCAAAAGGGGACCTCTCAGGTTTCTGATATGCTTGGCAAGGGCCTCCTTCTCCTCCTGTTTTGAGTTAGCATCACTCTGCGTCAACATGTGCAGCTCAACCCCAGGCACCAGCTGGGCGAAGTAACTTTATTCAAGGCACGGTCATAGCAATGAATATAACAAGAAGATACATAACTCTGGCACATTCCTAGAGGGCAACAGCCAAGGGAAAGACAAAAGACCAGAGCTTCCCAAAGACACCATACCCAACTCACAGGCACTTTGCCTCCATAAAAGAGAAGCGGCTAAGACAGGAGGCCTCGAGGTTTGCTACATTAGCATGTGACTAGGCAAAGGTAATTTCATAGGTTCCAAGGAGGGAGTAGTCAGGAACCACTTACTCACGCTACAGCACCGGACCCGACCACCCTTCCTCAAATGCAGCCAGCTACGGCACTTGATAATAGGATGGGAGAAACCTGTGATGGCATTCGTGCTGGATTAAGGTGAGTCCCTTCAACTGAGTCACATTCTGGGGTTCCACACCTCAACTTCTCTGCCTGTTTGTGAGGCATACACAACCTTCCCCCTTTCAGAAACGAGCCACAGCGTTCAATGAAGTATTCACCTTTCCTCTCCTTCTGGCAGATGTGGGCCTGCTGCTCCCTTCTTTGAGGACTCGAGTGGCTACAATTTCTTACCTGTGGGAAATGTTGAAAAAAACCCAGCACAGATAATAGCATAGAGATGCCTGACTATTGATACTACATAAAAGAGACTCATTTGGATAAGGAGGCCCTATCCTCTAATACACCAGAAGCCTGACCCTGTGCATATTCTCAGATGTTAAGTTCCACTGCAGTCAGCAGGGCTTCCTCCAAGTTATGTGGGCATAGCTTCAGATGTGTCATTAGCTCAGTCCTGCTGCATTGGAGGATGAGCCAAGCAATCTTACCAAGGCAGACAGACAGTACTTCATGCCACCTATTCACTGACATAGCTGGTGCTGGATCTTGCAGAATCACCAGTTCTCTACTGCTCACATCAAGTTTTCAAATGACCATTTTAGGGACAATATGACTACACAGCCTGCAACAGACATGTGTGTGAGATTATTAGGAGCAACGATGTACATTACCAAATGTTGCTAAAGGCAGATAGTCCCCAAAGGGTACAGGAAAGGTTTGTAAACTTATACCCACAAAGCTGGAGCCTTGCAATCCTGCCAGCTTGTGGAGGATGGGAGCTCACCAGTCCAGTTTCAGAGTGGTGTGTTGCCTTTATTTCAGCCAGTCCTCTTTTGTAACCACATGACTTATTCCATATGTGTACACACACACCCTCTTCTGTGCTACGATTACTCAACATTCCAACCCTCTGCCTCTGAAACCTGTCACAGGCGACAGGACTGGCTCCTGGAACAGAATAACTAATACAGTCGCAGGCCACAAGCAACATCAAAAGGTGCAGACACAGTCTGCAAAAACAATTTACTGTCTCACAATTTTCTGCGAAACCTCAAAACACCAAGAAGACCGACCATTCCTCTTATGCATGTGCTTGTTTCCTCTTTGGACAGCTTCCAAGAACCCCCAGCCCCTGGAAAAAAACATTTATTTGTTTTTTAAACAATCCACAACCCAGTTTTTAAAAAAATGAATTTAACTCTCTTCGGTTAAACTGGAGATTGCTTTATGGCTCCCTGTATCTTCATCACTTGTTCACTAACATGTCCATTTTTTCCTTTGCCTGTTTTTTAAAAAGTTGGCAGGTGACTGTGCATGGCACAAACTGCTTCTGAAATTGGGCTGCTGCATTTACTACTACACTGAGGCAATAAACTTAAAGGGTGCCTTTTCTTTCCATAATAAAAGGCTGCAGTGTGGAGAATAACGCTACAGACTCTTCCGTGGCCGCACATGAGAGAAGCTAAAGCAATGAAAGATAATCTGTATTGCATAGATAAGGTTGAAGTTCACTCCCCAGTTAAAAGGATCTCAGGGCTGCCAAACACATTAAAAAAATTCTACATGGGACTATACATTAATATACTGTATTTTACTGTACGTACACTCAAGCAACATGGTGTTCATCCAGCAAAATAGACATATCTCATCGCACCAGCCGACTGATAATTTGCCTGTTAATTCTTACATTGAAGGTGGGGATTTTTTTGTACTCTGCATGAGACTCTGGAAACCACCTCTCAGCAGAGAGTTCTAGGCTGTACAGGGTTGACCGTGGCAAATTTGTGGTTGGATCTCCCAACATATTCCACTAAACACCAAGCAGAAGTGGTCATGAGTTACCGTATTTTTTGCTTTATAAGACTCTTTCCCTCTTAAAAATAAGGGGAAATGTGTGTGTGTCTTATGGAGCGAATGCAGGCTGCGCAGCTATCCCAGAAGCCAGAACAGCAAGAGGGATTGCTGCTTTCACTGCGCAGTGATCCCTCTTGCTGTTCTGGCTTCTGAGATTCAGAATATTTTTTTTCTTGTTTTCCTCCTCCAAAAACTTGTGGTCTGGTGCGTCTTATAGAGCGAAAAATACGGTAGATTGTTGCACTGGTGGTGGTGTAAGCGTTTAACCTTTCCTCTCTGGGTGAACTAAAAGCAGAGTGACAAATTTTTAATTAACTAGTCCTAAGGTAGCCAGATGCAAAAGAAGACAGAGCCCCACAACCATTAATATCTGGACACAAGAGGGATTTCAGCAGGTCTTAGTTGCTGCACAACTCTTATAGGTGCCACTGTCCTTCCTCATTTGCATTAGGCTACTCTATCTAGTTTGCCTTTCTTACATACATGTGAGTAACTAAGCAAGAAACAAGTGGGCAGCTCACCCTAGAGACACAGATGTAGCCAAGCCTTTGTGCTGCCTCTGATGCTGGGCTTTTGCTTCATGGGGGCAGGAATGGAGACTTACTCTATGAAGTCCCTATGCAGCCTCTATATATTAGAAGGAATGCCGTGTTATAGGCATTTTTATCTGTGGCAAGGTGTATGAATGATCTTCAGCTAAGAAAGGGAAATTCTGGGAAGCAGATTTACCTGGGCATAATTCCTACTGCTTTTAATGGGATTTACTTCCTGGATAGTAATTGCAGGTAAGCTTCTAATATACATCTTTTTATTTAGCTATAATCGCAAGGTGCTTTTTCTGTTTCTCAAACAGCAGTAGGCAACCTAGATCTGCCCTGTTCAAAACAGGCCTTGAAGATGGAAACAGGGCTTCTTCTACCTTCTCTCCCCACACCTACTGTGCCTTTTGACAGTTGCATGGACAGTAGAAATCTAAGAGGCAAACCTCTTATAACAGCGACAGAGTAGCTTGGGAACAACTTTCCCAATTACAGCACCAGCATGCTAGGAAAGTTTCACCTGCTTAAGAGTTGTGAGACAGGCAGTAATTCAGCGCACAGGAGTCCTGCTAGAAAAAAGGCATGGCAATTCTGATTTGTACGCAGATCACCTAATACTTCTCCTTCCTGCTTGCTCTCTTGCGGCTTTTACTTAGCTCCTAAGTAAAAAAATTTGGACAGCCTCATCCCAGGTTCTGAGCACAGCAGCCCACGAGAGAAATCTCACTCCATTGATCCCAGGGACTTTGCAGAATCATAGATTAAGAGTCTCATGTTCTACTGACATGAATGGTGGTGAAGCACTGATCAAATGGGCTAGTATATAATGCAGTTGAGCCAGAGAAAGTCCTATACAACAGTGGAGGTTTCGAAGTAAAATGGAGTCATTCCCATGCACAAGTCTATCCTGGCAGGCACACCTATCATTTGGAGACAAGGGGGCTGGCCTGTGATATCATGCAGCCTGTGCACTGGCAGCTTAGAACATGCTGGTGTACAAATGGGTTATTGTCACAGAAGGGTTGAGATGTCACCACTGCCTGCCTGCCATCCCACCCAGCTCTCAAGCCAGTGCCAAATTAGCTGTGATCGTGGCATAACCATTATGTTTAAACTTGGATCTGTAACGAAGATGCTGAAAGTCAAGCAGGTGTGGAGATCCAATTTATGGAGCAAAAGGGGCATATGAGTGATGTGTACCAAACCCGTAACCCTCCCCAGGGCTCAACCCTCTGCAGAAAGTTATCTAGCCCCCTAATCAGGGCACTAGCTGTTTGTTTAGCTCCTCTCCCACACATGCTCTCCTTTTGCCTTAAAAGTTTGACTCTACCCCTGGTTTCTAGGGGTTTGCATCAGATCTGGTTTTATACACACAGCTCTGCCGCTGTCCTGTCTGGTTTGGGCTCAGCTTCTACACAATCTCATTCATCACCCCCACCCCACCCCTCCGCCTTCAAGTTTGCTTTCAAACAAGGAACCAGGCAGTTTCCAACACGGTTGGAAAAAAGGTAAGCAAAAATCCGAACATGGCAATTATTCTGGGCGTAAAGCACACAACCAGTCAAACCTAGAAAAACAGAAACAAGTCAGGCCTGTCACTTAGGCCACACTGAGAAAGAAAGTCTTTTTTCGGAGGCAGTGAATTTGGGCAAAAGCAACAACTGCAGCAGCAACAAATGGGCATATAAAAAATGAAGCAGCTAAAGCACCTGTCTTTTGCAAATGCCCCTCTTGCATTCAGGAAACAATTGGGACTTTGCTTCTGCAACAAATGCATCACACTGGGCTGTGCAGTCAACTTGAATGTGTCTTGGGAGTCACCATTCTGCTCTCTACTCCACACACCTGCACCCAAATGTTTTATAGAAAGGTTTGTAGCTACTGGGCGCATGATGCTATTTAAATCCAAACAGTCTCTTGCTCCTGCTGGCCTGAGCAGAGAAGGCTGCCCCCACGAGAGAAACATCTTCCTCTACCAAAAAAAGAATATAAATGAAAAGCAAAAATAGTGGAAGGCGAGGGAGACCAACTGGGGCAACGGAGAGAAGGGAGGATTTGTCAGAAGACACGAAAAGAGTCAAGCAATGGCAGTCTGTAGCCCTGGAGCAGAAGGATGAGAGGCAACATGTGGAACATGCTGCTGCTAAACAGCTGGGAGTAAAAAACTGAAGTAACACTGCCTACGCAGAACCTCCCTGTTCGTTCCATCTCTGCTGGAGAGTTGAGCTGCCATCCCAACACTGTGGCCAAGAGAACTGCAGCACTGAAGGCCCATTGTGCATCAGCCTGAGTGGTTCTGGCCTAAGTAGCAAAACCAGACCTTTGCTCAAAACTGGAGCAGGACTGATAAGGCAACTCAGAGCAATCTAGGCCTTGGGACATAATGCTTCCCTCCGGCACTCTTAATACTCAAAATGTTTCTCTGGTCTGTCTCGTCACTCTGAGAGCAGGTGGTCAATGATAGCGGGTTTGGTCATCCAGCACCGGCCCGGTTCTGTATTCGCCCTCCGTGCTCTCCAGCTCTGTTTCAAAGCTCTGCAGGCCTCCCTCCTCCATGTTCTCGGCTTGCTCCAGGCGGCTGCCCATGGTGCCGTAAGACTGGTGAGCTGGGGAGGCTGCTGGCGTTAGGCTTAGTTCTGGCTCCTGAAGCACTGTAGCCACAAACATCTACAACACATAGAGCAAGGAAGTTACAATTCTGAGGTCCTTTGCTTTGCATCTTGCTGAAAGGACAAATTTCTCCTTAACTCTTCCCTTTTGTGAAAGGACAGTGACTGCAGAAACGCTGGCACGTGGACCTTGCCAGTCTGCACGAGAGAACTGGGACATTGCAAGCAAGTGTGCAAGGCCAGGAAGGGAGGCATACAGGAAATGGAAGATATACTTACATTTGAATTGGGGGTTGAAGAAATGCTGCTCCTTTCTGTATCATTGAAGGCACCTTCAGATTGCTCAGACATCTGCTTGCAGGTGGAGAGGAGAATAAAGTTGGGCGAGGGACAGAAAACAGGGATTGATGCTCGACCCGTAGCTCCCAAAATGGTGATTCTCCCAAAAGCAAGTGTTACAAACCTGGAGCCCTCCATATATTGTTGGACTACATTTCCTATTATCTGGCTGGAACCAATGGGAGGGTCAAAACTTCTCCATCCCTGCTGTAGGTCAATAGATCATGGCTATTTTTGAGGTGGACACCTTGTAAAAACACCCTCGTGTAAGGGGATATACTACTGAACTTAGACTAGGAAGACCCCCAGGTCAAATATCCACTCATTCATGAAGATCATGGGCTAAAACCCCTCACAAAATTATTGTGAGGACAAAATGGACCATAAAGCACACATGCTGCTTGGAGCTCCTTGGAGAAAAAATGGAATACAAACCTAAAAGGCACAAAATGAGCTGTCACTACGATCTGAGAATGCACTTCTCTTTGTTTTCAGGCTATTCAAGGGAAATTACTAAGATTGTGGGGAAGTGAAAAATAGTTGTGTGACTCAGTGTATTATAGTGCCTTTTGAGGTACAAAAATGTAACACCGAAGAATAATGCAACCATAAAGAGGGAGAACGAATGCCCCAAATAACCAGGAAACCATAAAAGGGGTACCCAGTAGTAACAAAGACACACAATGTAAAATATCAGCAAGACTTGCAGCAGCATTTCTTTTTCTGTTTTCTCGCTGATACTTTGAAGTCCTATGCAATTCCTTATTGGAGTCATCAGGATTCAATAAGCACATACATAATTCTTCCAAGATTAGACAGCTTCACCTACAGTATCCAAACCTGCTTGACAGAACTATATTCTTTTGGTCAGCATTTGAGAGTTGATTCCCCCCCCCCCCCCCGGTATTTGTATGTTGTGTTTGTGTTATTTGTCAGAAGGAGTGGGGCAGAGGTCAGTCGAGGTCTACTAGTACATCTCTGCCTGGTTTGTGGTGTATCAGCAAGGGTTTCCTGACTCTTAACAACAGCAACAAAACAACTTTCTCTGACTAAATTTGGCTGCTGAAACCAAGAATGCGAACCAGGACCAGACTTTAGTCTGACAGGACTGTGAGATCAGTTCTGGTACCAAAGATAAACTCCTCCATTCAGAATGTGTTCCGAGGCATCCAATTCTCTATATGTATTTTCTAAAGTAGATCTGACAAGCATTTCACCTTTTTGGTAAAAGGTTTAATGCACGCATCCATCCATTTCAAAGCAAATGTATGTAGCACAACATTTTAAAAGTGGTTGTGGGTGGAACATGCTAGTCTGAGAAGTGTGTGCATGCATCGTAAATAATATTGTGGTAAACTTCTCCCCATGCTTGGATTTTCCTCATGTAGCTCAGGTGACAAGTGGTCATGAGCAAATGTAAGAAACAGCACACAGTAAACTGGGCACATTCTTGCCTTTCTTACCTGGTAACTGGAGGGCTTCCTTGGATGCAGCTTCTTCAGACAAAGGCCAAAGAAGGAAGAAAGGATGCAGGAGACAAGGACCACGCAGGTGAAAATGGTGATGGGTCTGATGGAGCCTACAGTGTTGACAGACCAGGAAATGACATTAGGTGCCACTGCTTTCTCTGCCTACAATTTAAAGTAGTCTGCAACTCCTGAGACCCAAACCCGCTTTTGTAAGGAGCAAGGCCTGTCACATCTGGATGAGGGCTCTCTAAATCACCAGTGGTGAATCTGTGGCCCTTTAGATGTTATTGGACTCACCAGCCCCAGCCAACACAACATTCAAAGCAACTTCCTGGGGGTAAATGGATGCGCTCAGTCTGGATACTACTCAACCTTTCCTAAATAAATGTCAATAAGCCCCAGCCTTAGAGGAAGAAGGTTCAGCTCAGGGTATGCTTGATGGCATCCCTTGCCTACCTAGTCGGATGACGGAGAAGAAGAGCAGCCAGAACATGCAGAGGATGGGAGCTACCACCACCTGGCTCACAGCTGCCGTGTGGATGCGCTGGTTCAGTTTGGTGGGGATGTAGACATAGTAAATGTTGTAGCGGTCAACCATGTGCTTCAGCAGCATATACAGCAAACCTGCAGGCACCGATATGGGAGCAGAAGGACAAGGAATGGTCAAAGGAGATGCCGGTAGGCAAGAAGATAAGGGGCTTGGTCAAGAGAGATTTTGCAGCAGACGATTCAGTGGGAGAGGCCACAGCTTAGGTAGTAGTGGGGCACGTGCTCTGCATGCAGGAGGCCCCAGATTCAATCCCTGGCTTCTTCTGTTAAAAAAGGATTCCAGGTAGCTGGGCTGGGAAAGACCTCTGCCTGTGACCATTGAGAGTTGCTGGCAGCCAGGAGTACTGGGCAGAATGGAATACAAATCCTGTACACCGGGCAAAGTAGAGGCCCATAGTCATTTTCTGTCCAGAAAGTGTACTTTGGGAATGGGGTATTATAATTCAATGTGAAAGAGCGAAAACCCAAATAAATGTAGCTTAATATGCATTATTTACACATTATTACATTATTTACACAGAGCCTCCAGCTGCTGTTGGACTACAACTCCCATCATCCTTAGCTAGCAGGACCAGTGGTCAGGGATGATGGGAATTGTGGTCCAAAAACAACTGGAGACCCAAGTTTGGGAAACCCTGAGCTAGAGATTTGCTTTTTATTAAAACCAAACCAAACCAAACCAAACCAAACCAAACCAAACCAAACCAAACCAAACCAAACCCAGAACACTAATAATTCAGAGGAGCCTGAAATATCTTTGTGTGTGTGTTGGTAGAGGAACAAAAGCTGCCTTATAACTGAGTCAGAGCAGCAGCATCTACACTAATGGGCTCAGTATTGCCTCTACCAATTGATTGGAACTCTACAAAGTCTCAGAATGAGTTTCCCAGAGACTGAATGTGGGATTCTGTGCATGCAAAGCTCATGTTCTACCACTAAGGTACAGTCCTTCCCCTTGCATTAAGGCTACAGCCTTGAGCACAAATGCATGAAAACATCTAAGACAGGCGTAGGCATTATGGTGCCCTTCAGATGCTGTTGGATTACTCCCATCAGCCCCGACTGGGGAAGATGAGAGTTGGAGTCCAACATCATTTGAAGGGCACCATATTGGCTACTCCTGATCTAAAGTTTTTAAATGTAGAAAGTATGGCAGCCCAGTGTTTGCCCAATGGATTGGAGTGCAGCCATGTGGATTTTGGTAAGGCTGCTTTTAGCTGTGAAACACAACTGCATGGTAGCAGAACCCCACGTTTTGCCCCGAATCCTATTAGGCAAACTTCAGCAGCTGCCCTGCCCAGCAGCCCATCTTTATTCCCCATATCCTTCCCCATGCATCCTGAAATCTGACTAGGATATTGATTTTCTCAAGTGACTAAACAAGGACAGGAACTTTAGGGGGCTGACAGAGATACTTACCAAAGGGGACAATAATGGGGCAGGTGATGCTATAGGTCATGACAACAGCAAATATACAGCAGGTCCAGGCATACTCCAGTCCAAACTGGAACTCATAAGCTTGGTTCTAAGGAAAACACAGTAGCACATTTATCTTGTTGTCTTTTACTTCATCATAAGGAGAACTAAAAGAACACTTATTGGCTGGGTTAGCACACTTAAAAGCCTTGAGCCAATATGATTTGTTTCCCTTAGCTATGGTTAAGCATTACATCTCTGTACCTAAACCATGGTTAAGTATTGGCCACAAACCAGGATGCAAAATCATGGTTCAAATAGGTTGCAAACCACTGCGTTGGCCTGCACCGAGCAAACTGTGGTTGAGGCAGCTTCTGCCTCCCTGCCTCCTGAGCTTCTCTTGCCTGCAAAACAACAATCAGGTTTTGCTAACATCTCCTTAGATATGCCCTTTACAAGCTACATCATGGTTTCAATGTTTCTTTGGGATGTTAAGCAGTGTTTAGACAACAGTGCTAACCATGGTCAATGTGTTAAGCATTGTCTGCTCTGGGCCAATCAGAAGCCCTCTTTGGGTGTCTAATACTCATGTGATTGAAATTATGTTACGGGCCTCTGTGTTGCATCTCCGCTGCCCAGCCACACCACCCTCCACTCACAAGAGGAGGAAGTCTAAAGTGGGGAGATTCCCTACATTATTTAGCATCATACACAACCAGGATCGTATAGGCAGGGTTGTGCACACAGGGAGCCTAGACATGTGTAGATCCTACTTCAAACCTTCTCCCTCCCCCAAAGTGTGGAAGGCAGTGGGGGCCAGCAGATGGTGACACAGTAAAAGAGGTGGGTCCCCTTCGGATGATAAGTATCATGACAGTGAACTCCCAAATACAGCTTGACTTTCATGAGATTCCTGCTCCATAAGAACCTGGGCCACTAGAACCCTTCCCCCAAGATTGCTGTCCTTGTTTTCCAATATTATATCTGCAACAACAATGCACAGGCAAGTGCCCTTCTGCGAAAAGAGAAAGCTAAGCTTCTCAAGAAGTGAAATTTTGTTCTCACTCACACACTGCATAGTATGCAGCTGAAACACATAGAATATATATATAATCCTAACTTATAACACTCCAGGACTGAAGCTTGCCCTAAGTTGATGTTTCTCATAAACCTTTGGAGAAGCTGAACCTCAAGCCTGGCCATTTGTGAGTTTTTTGGTTGGGGGTGGGTGGCATTTCCACACCCTTACAGGACAGAGTTGCTTCAGAACAAAACATAACAAGAGGGAATCCCAGAGATTCACAAAACACAGAAGTGCCAAGAGGACAGCCTTCTGGCCCTAAGACAGGACGGCATGTGGCTGAGTGTGAGTGAGAAAGTAACGAAACCGCAAACCCGCTTGATGTGGAGCCGCTCCGGTTCAGACTTGGCAAAGCAGAGCCGCGTGGCATAGACAATGAGTCCAGGGATGCGCAGCAACTCCATGGCTGTCCCAATCAGGCTGGAGGTGACAACATAGTTGACAAAGAAAGCACCGTTGTCGGGCAGGAAAACACACCTAGGTGGGAAGAAACCAGGGGTGGAGGAGTGAGAAGAGAGATGCTCTAAACAGACCGGGAGAAAGTGGCACCTCCAGAAACCTTTGCTGAGAACCAAGGCCACACATGCTCGTGACGTACCTCATAAACACAAACCAGGACACCCACCCTGCCAGCAGAACTGGTGAGCCCTCTTTGTCTCTCACACACAGGTCTGAGCAATACTCACTGAAACTTGATCTCTGCCTGATCCACAAAGTGGGTGTCAAAGAGCCAGCGGAAGAAGAGATCCAAACTGGGGAAGGAGAACAGAGAGCAAGAATGGAACACAGTGGCTTATTCTTTTGCAAGGAAACTTATGCAGGACCCCCAGGCCACTAGTCTAGCCCACTGAAGGTTGGGGCTATGCCAGCAGGACCACCATGCCAGCTTCACCAGTGTGTCTGTGCATTCCCAACTTCAGCGGCACTTTGCCCTAGCCTGTACATGGAAGCTATAGCAATGCTAGTGCTGGGAGGGAGGGGAGGCTCTGCTCCACCACCACAGCCGCTGCTGGTGTAGCCTTTAGGATTTTTGTTGTGTAGCCCCAAGGCCCCTGTGATTTGCCCCTCTCCGGACCTTCATACACACTGCCCTCTTATACAGATAAAGACTGAAGTCGTGAAATACCACCTACTACTTTGTCTCTACTTTCTCATGCTCCACCTGGTACGCAGGCTGAGACCCTACCTGCCCGCGGACTGTCTCACCAGAGTGGTGCATGCTCTAGTTATCTCTCGCTTGTACTACTGCAACGCGCTCTACGTGGGGCTACCTTTGAAGGTGACCCGGAAACTGCAATTAATCCAGAAAGCGGCAGCTAGACTGGTGACTGGAAGTGGCCGCCGGGACCACATAACACCGGTTCTGTGAGATCTGCATTGGCTCCCAGTACGTTTCCGAGCACAATTCGAAGTGTTGTTGCTGACCTTTAAAGCCCTAAACGGCCTCGGTCCTGTATACCTGAAGGAGTGTCTCCACCCCCATCGTTCAGCCCGGATGCTGAGATCCAGCGCCGAGGACCTTCTGGTGGTTCCCTCATTGCGAGAAGTAAGGTTACAGGGAACCAGACAGAGGGCCTTCTTGGTAGTGGCGCCCACCCTGTGGAACACCCTCCCTTCAGATGTGAAGGAAATAAGTAGCTATCCTATCTTTAAAAGACATCTGAAGGCAGCCCTGTTTAGGGACGTTTTTAATATTTAATGCTGTATTGTTTTTAATACTTGATTGGGAGCCGCCCAGAGTGGCTGGGGAAACTCAGCCAGAAGGGCGGGGTATAAATAATAAATTATTATTATTATATTATTATCATGCAAATCAAAATGCCCGAGAAAGCATTTATTTTGCTTTAGAAAGGAAGAACGGAGTGCCAAGTCAAGTCTCAATCCTAAATAAATTTACCTCTAAGATGAGCTTAATTTTCTCTTTTGAAAGGAGTGGATTCAATTTACCTTCCTTTTATATGACAGTAAGCTTAATATCAGCAAATCATTTTAAAAACAAGGTTTTATGTGGTAATTTGAGCTACCACATGGAAAACACACTTGTGCAAATCTCCCTCAAATCTCAAGTGCTGCTGATTCACTTCTGGCTTTAAATCTTGCCAACTACTTATTCAGAACTGCTGGTCTCCCTATCAGAGGGGGGCTGAACTGCAGTGTGTTCTGTGAGACAGGAAGCATGCATTCAATCTGCAAACAAAAGGCCTCCAAGAGGCTTCACAAAAGGCCTGAACAAAGGAAGAATGATTTGTGTTTTAACATCTGCAAGTTGCTTTGTACCTGGTCAATCCAAGTGAGGGCAAGATGATAACCATAAACACCAGGAAAAAATAACACTTGTGCATTGTGATCTGATTCTCATTTGACCTAAAAGGGAAAAACAACAACAACACATATTTATCCCACCATATTTATCCCATGGGGAGAGACAATCAGCAACGTAACAGGAGCTAGGTTTGAATTTTGTAGTAAAACTCCCGAAATGATACTACTAAAGCAACCTGATAAAAACATCCTCAGATTCCACAATAAATATCACAGAATGTCACTGAAACCCACTTTGAGGTTTTGATGAGGACTTTGCATTTTTCTTTTTTTGGTTTTTGTTTAGATTAGTTTGTTTTTTCTTGTATTGTATTATGAAAAGCCTTAATAAAATCTGATTTAAATAAAGCAGCATACAGTGTGTGTGGCATAATGGTTATAGTGTTGGAATAGGACCTTGGAGGCCAGGGTTTGAATCCCCTCTTAGCCATGAGGCTCACTGAATTATCTGGGGCCAGTCACCGTCTCTCAGCCTAACCTACCTCACAGGGCTGTTGTGATGAAATAGGGAGGAGGAGGAGAAACATGTACACCACCTTGAGATAAAGGCAGTGTATCGATGTAATAAATAACAACAACAATAATGAGAGTTACAAACCCTTTTACTCCAATATGAATAAATAAAATAAAGCATGGGGTTCTTTTAGGGTTTACCAGGTTTTTTCTTTTAACTTAGGAAACCATGCTATTAAAACAACCAGATAAAAGGATTCCCAGATTCAGCAATGAGTTTTACTGTTACTGTCACAGCCAGGTAGATCCCCAGAGAAACTCTGAAAATGCGTAATGCAACAAAATCTAACCCCTGGGGTTTGTTTCCAGCATAAAACCATTATAAAAGTTGCGAGTGTAGGTAAGGATATGAGTTACCTCGTCCAGTGCGATTCGAAGAAAGCAGAGTAGTACACGATGAAAGGCAGGAACACTGAGAAAGCCCAGAGCAGCAGCGTGGGGAAGAACTGGGTGACAATAGGATTCTGGGAAATGAGATAGACAGGAGGAATAATATTACTTAATACTTTTACTAAGAATCCACCAGCCTCTCTGCCTGCCGCACCCTGGGAACAGGACTAAAAGCATACAACTTCTCCTTGATAGTGCATAGCCTAGGTTCCCTCTCACTGCTGCTAATTTGGTCACTGACTGTAAGTGCGGCTTGGGTAAAAACAACGCCACATCAAAGGCAAAAAAGGATGAATGGCTGTTCTGTGCTGGGAGATTTCTGCCACAGCTCCTTCTCTAAACCAGAGGATCACCCGTGTCATTCTTCCTTCGGTGCAACAACCTATTCAGTATCGGGATGCATTTGAAGATCAAAGATGAAGATGGGCAAGTACCATAGCACAGAGCACACAGCAGTCTGGCTCCCCTGGGCAGAGCAGTGCTAAAGGCTCCACTATCAGGACATTAGGCAGAGATTTCATTCCCTGTCCAATGCTTTCACAGGTATATGCTTCTCTTTTGGGGGTGGATGGGCATGGAATGGGCAAGCCCTGAAAAGCAGGGAGTGGGAATGTTACCCTCCCCATAGCTGGGCTCTAGTACCAATAAGGGATGGCAGTGTGCACCTTGAGGCTCTCCACAGGCCGTGTGACGTTGAACATGTCCATGGTGTTGACAATGATGGCAGGCGTGGTGAGGAAGAAGAGGAGGATGAAGAGGCAGATGTTGAGCACGACAAATCGCACCCACCACGAAGCACCGCTGACGGATAAGTTCTCCCTACAAGAAAGAAAGCATGAGGAGCATGCGGAGTGCAGGGAAGCCAGCCGGCCAAGAGGTGACAGCAGCTGCCATCAACCTGAGGCCTTCCAGATGTGTTAAGACTACAACTCCCATCAGCCCCAGCCAGCACGACTGCAGACCGAAACACATGGAGGGCACCAGGTTAGTGAAGGCGGAGTTAAAAAGTTCCCATCTCATAGTAACACTCTTGCCCTCACTTTTGGGGTTTAGGACTTCTGCATAAATCTTAATATCCAACTAGAAATATACTGATTGTGTGCAAGTGTTTGCAGTTGTTTGCAACATGCTGGCTGCTGAAATTAGTGATGGTTTTAAAAAGGTAACACTGGCTTGAGGATTATTTGCTTTGTGGATGACCAATCACTGTACCCACAAAAGCATCTACAGATGAATACTCACTTCAGCCAGATGGGTCTGCTAGGTAGCCAAGGAGAAGGGCCATAACTCAAGTGGTGTAGCATCTGCTTTTCATGCAAAAGATCCAAGGTTCAATCTCTGGTGTCTCCAGGTAAGGTTAGGAGAAACTCCCAGTCAGTATAGACAAAACTGAGCTAGATGGACTTAGTATAAGGCAGTTTTCTTTGGTCCTTGCGGAAGCTGCAAAAATCCTGTCAGTATCCTCGAGAACAGTTTTCACACCACCTTTGTGTAGTGTATTAATTGCAGTCAGCAGATGGTGCTATTGTTTCACCCAGTTCTTCCACAAGCAACGATACAAAAACAGCTAAGATTCTAAGGTGCAGTAAGAAATCAATTGCGGCCTACGCTTTTGTGGGCTCAAGTCCAGTTCATCAGTTGCGTGCGGTGTAAACCCTAGTTGCAGGTATATCTACACATGGAAGGGTAGTAAGCAGTGAGATCGGAGGGAAATAAAATGCAAAAATTACAGACACTGACCTCACTGCTTACAATTCCCCAATCAACCATGTATATACATGCACATGAGGATTATTCTTCATGCAACTGGTGAACTGGAATGTGGTCTGTAAAAGCTAATGCTGCAATAAATTGGTTAGTCTTTTGGGCACCACAAAACTGTTGTTTTTGTTGCAATGCAGAGTAACATAACTTTCCCTGTGGAAATATATTAAAAAGTCTGCCTTCTGCCACATGAATGTGTCTGAATTCCAACGTTCTCCTCTATGACTGCGCACACATTCAAAGCACATTTCATTGTGAACTGCCCTGAGATCTATGGGTAGAGGGTGGTACAACAACAACAACAACAACAACAACAACAACAATTTTGTTGCTCAAAGAATTATGGGCATTGTAGTTTGGGAAGGCTTGCTGGGAATTTTAACTCTGAGGAATGAACTGCAGTGCCCTGAGGGGGGAAATGTGCTTTGAAGGTATAGTTGTACTCAGCCAAATCTCCCTGAGGCACTGGCTGTGGGGTAGCTCAGGACTCCATGACTGCCATAACGACCATGGGGCTGTCCCAACATGTCATCGGCCCAACGCATGTGGCAGGCTACACTTTGAACCTTGTTTTCTCAACTGGGTAGGAAGAAGGCGATCCGAAAGTGGGAGATACTGACATCAGTCCCTTGTCATGGTCAGATCACTTCCTGCTGAGATTTAGGCTTTTGGCACCTTTTACCCTCTGCAGAGGTCTGCCCTTGGAGTCTAATGGATCCACCTATAGTTTACCAGAGCATAGATTACAGAAGTTAGGCTATTCTCGTTTTGTATTTTTATGTTGTGAACTGCCCTGTGATCTTCAGATGAAGGGTGGTATACAGATGTAATAAATAATAATAAATAATAATTTCCCTAGGGATTCATTTCAGCATGTAATGTTAATTGCCTTGATTACCGTTTTATCAATTTTCCTGAATTTTTATGCAGTGAATTTTTAACAGTGGCTACAAAAAAGCACCAGAATAACCAAACACTCTCTGGACTCACCAGCATATTTCAACATCAGTGCCCAAAGGAACATTTACATCTCTCTCTCTTTTCTGCCTGATGTCACTGCCCAGGCCAGCCTCCCAAAACCTGATGCTGTGTTGGATGGGGCTGACAGACATTTTCTAAAACATATTTGGGGCACTAGGTTGGAGAAGGCTGGCCTAGGGTTTAAAGTGGTGGATTTGCTAGTCTCGAAACACCCAAAAGTATAACACGGAATCTTAAAATTTCAACATGTTGAACTTGCTCCTTGCCTTGATGCTCCCTTGAAAACCAAGATGGCAGAAGCATGGGAACTTACCAGATGATGTCGTTGGGAGCGGGGGCATAGCTGACCCCCCAGCAATGAGATTTCACCACTGTGGTAACAGAAGACTGTTGTGGATGCTTGCGACACCAGACACGGCTGTAATCCTTCAGAATACTGGGGGAGAGAAGAGGCAACAGCTGGAGGAGGGTGGTCCAATACCACTCCCATACAGAATGTAGCTCCATTTTGGACAAAAGGGCTGTGGCTTCTTGGTAGTGGCGCCCGCCCTGTGGAACACCCTCCCACCAGATGTCAAGGAAATAAACAACTTTCTGACATTTAGAAGACATCTGAAGGCAGCCCTGTTTAGGGAGGTTTTTTAATGTTTGATGTTTTATTGTGTTTTTAATATCCTGTTGGAAGCCACCCAGAGTAGATGGGGAGGCCCGGCCAGATGGGCAGGGTATAAGTAATAAATGATGATGATGATGATGCAGAAGGTCCCAGGTTCAATCCCTGGCATCTCCAATAGGGCTGGGAGAGATCGCTGCCCCAAACCCTGGAAAACAGCAGCCAGCCAGTCAATACTGAGTCAGATGGGCCAATGTATAAGGGTCAGATGGCCTCTGTATAAGGCAGTTTCCTATATTCCTAATGTTCCCCTTGGAGATAATCCTTTCTGACCTCAAATACGGTGCAAGTTAAGATGTTCAGTGTGAACAAACTCCTAGAGAAATTAGTAGTAGCAGGGAACACTCACGTGGCTGTCATCCTCTCATCCTGAAATGTGACAAAAGCCATGTCGAGGCGCTTTAGCGCAATCCGGCTCCGCTCCGCATTAAATTCATCTGTCAATTTCTCTTCTAGCTCCCCATAGTATTGCTCCGCATCTACCTAGCAGGGAGAAAAGGAAGCATGCTCAGTTATTGGTTCTGCTTTGAAATGCCTGTGAGAGTAAATGCAGAATGAAGTTATCATCTTCTGTCTTCACGCATTCTCTGAAAGGCTGCTGCTTCCTGAAACGCCAACTACCGCACAATTATTTTTTTTGTGAGACAGCAAGAATGATATATACTGGTTTAATCTAGGCATTTTCCATCACCAATGTAAACTGATTATACTTGCTGTAATGAGGTGGAGTAAAAGTCCAAGGCCAGACTCCGCAATAAAATTGGTACCAAGCAAACATTCATCAGCTGCCAAATTCTAGCCCAGGAGTTGCAACTGGAGTGAATCAGCTGTCACAGGAAGGTGTGTGCATGCAAGTGAGAGAGATTAACTGCGTCATTCCAGCCCTTTCAGGCAGACACTACTTGAAAAAGAACAGCAATAACTATGTCAAGGAGACTATGGTCTCAGTTGGAATAACAGCTGCCAGCTGCCAGACAGTATTCCAGCAAGGCCTCTAGATGGTGCAAGCTGAAGCACGTCTTCCGAGATGACGTAGAACCGTGAAACAGTTTGTAACAGTTTCAGCCCTGCCTTTAGTCCCAGCCTGAAATATTGGGCCCATTTTTAATTTTCACTACCTCATGTGCCTTTCTCTATATCTCTCTCCCTCAGACACACTGTCTATGGATATTCTAATGATCCCCGCTTCTGTCCCAATTTGAAATGCTGGGCCCATTTTTAACCTCATGTATCCATTTCTCTATAAATTATTGTCTTCACTGCGCTTTCTCTTGGTGCTCAAACAATCCCCTTTAGTCCTAATCTGAAACATTGGGCCTTAAAAAAAAAATTCCCTCGTGTGTCTGTCTTCATACAATCTTTTCTCTATCTCATATGTTCTGAAAACAGAGGAAGAGAGACACAAACAAGCCTCCTCACACATTTACAAAATGGGCATGCAGAATGGGGGAAAGAGTGCCACTGGTGTGGCCCATCTCTGACTTGGGCTTAACAAAATTGTGGGTCCCAATTCACCAGGTGAAGGCCAGTTGTGTAGCAGACCAATTTCAGCTCTGTCATGAACTGGGTCCAGGGGACAGGCAAGTGCTCAAGAAAAACACACACACTCCCATTTCCAAGTTTTTCTCCCCTGTCACTGGGTGACATTTCCCTGAGGCTGCTTAAGAAAGACCTGTGTGCCCCGAGGGAAGGCAGAAGCTAGGAGACTTGGGCCAGGGAGCACTAACCATCAGCTCCTGACAGAACCATCAAGAGGTCTGAGAGAACTGTTGGAGCAGGCCTTTCCCCCACCACCTTCCCTGGGGCTGCTCAAGAAAGGCCTGTGCAGCCTGAGGGAAGGCAGGAACGAGGGAACACAAGCCAGGGAGCTTGCTGCCATCAGCTCTTGGAGACACCTGTGGGGCCTGAGATGACTCTGTCAGTCACTCTGCATTTTATAACATGCATTTGTTTTCATATTTTAAAACTACAAACCATGTTTGGGCGCCTTGGCGAAAAGGTGGTTATATAAAAGCAGTGCTTTTTTTCCAGGGGGATGCAGGGGTACGCATACCCCTAAATATTTTGTGCATCTAATGGAAGAAACTATTTTTTAACAATTTTTAGTTTCTTCTCTAGCACGGTGAATAATCAGTTCCGTTGAATAGCACGGTGACTGGTCAGTTTCGTTGTTACCACCTCCGATGGCAGCCTCATTTCCTGAGTCTCAGATGGAAGTGAGTGTTTAAAATGTGAAGCAATGTGGAATGTGGCTGTGTGGTGTTTTACTGTCAGCTGAGTAATATGAGGTAATGCATGTTCTTTGTACTTTTGTCCATTTACTGTATTTATTTTTCCCAATCTGAACTATAAAATGGAGATTTTCTTGAGTCAAAATGAGAGCACCCCTAAACATTTTTTTAAAAGCACTGTATAAAAGCAATCACTCAATCAAACTTCACATGGAAATTGTCTCTAGCTTAGCTTGGTAGCCAGCAGACTAACAAAGCAACAGGGTAATGGACAATCATAAATGCCCACGGTCAGTTTCATGTGCCGGCCCTGAATTTCCCTCTGTACCTCTTCAAAGCCGCAACTACGGCAACAGAATATCCGTGAGCAGGGGTGGATCTTGATCATGATTTTCCCCTCCTTCTGAGCCTTGGTGGTGAAGTAAAGCCTCCCCTTCATTGCCTTGCGCCTGCCAGCCAAAACGAAGCAGAGCGGAAAGTTAACGAGGCTGCCCATTGAATCATTGTGTTCAGAATTGCCGTATCTTTCCGTGTATAACATGCCCCCATGTATAAGACAACCCCTATTTTTTGGGGGGAAATTGCCCAAAGTTGTTGAGCAGGCCAATCACACGGCCAATTGCCTCTGACAATCTCCTGCTGGCTGCTGCCACCAATTGCCCACCCACCCACAGTTATCCATAAGACAACTCACAATTTTTGCCCATCATTTCGAAGGATAAAATATCGTCTTATACATGGAAAAATATGGTAAGTGTATTTCCATGCATGCACAACTGCGGTTGCTTTGCTTAAGTTTGAGGCTTTCGGATTCCGTACAGCAGGGGTGGGGGACGTTTTTCATCGCAAGGGCCACATTCCCTTCCAGGCAACCTTCTGAGGGCCACATGACAGTGGTGAGTGGAGACAAAAGTGGGCAGAAAAATAGGTGTAAACGTTGCCTTCGTACAGCATTCTAGTGTCTCCACACCCATACATGCTCCATCCAGACAAGCAAAAGAGGCATGAAATAGTTCAGGGACACTTTCTAGCCAGGCCAGTGAGGAGTGTGGACTGGGGGCAGTTCTCAGGGTCAGATAAAGAGGACTGGAAGGCTGCATTTAACCTCTGGGTCTAAGGTTTCCCACCCCTACAGAATTACATCCTCAGAACCTTAGCTGTGATGGAAATAACGTTGCGGTGCAGCACTTGGCATTTATATATTTATTTAAATAGGTTTCAAGGTATCACAGTGTGTGGCCTGGATCCTTTGGCTCTGTGAATGGGAGCCTCCATTCATGGAAGAAGAGCTGCACTCACAGAAGAAACCCCATCATGATCTCAAATCTCCTTTCATTCACGGAGTAAAAAGTTGTGATTTGAGGCAGTGTATTTAGAGACATATCTTGAGATGAATTTTTTTTAAATTGCAGATTAAATGTGAGGCCTGAATGGAATTATGGCTAAAAACAGTATGTTTAAGTGACACAGACCAGAAATGGGTCTGCCCTTTAACTGTTTCCATTCCAGCTGGTCATTGTAAGTACTATTCAACATTAAGAACTGACATGTGAGTTTGCTCCCCCCCTTTCTTCCCTGTTCCTTTTCCCTCGCGTGCTGTGCCTTTTCGATTGTAAACCTGATGGCAGAGACCATCTTGTTTTTATCAAAGGTACGCCACCCTGGGAGCCTAAGTGCTCTAAGTAAAATAATAAATAAAATGCAGCAAATAATTGCCAAGATGCAAGTCTTTGTCATGTTAAAAGGATCAGACACAAGCTTCTCCCTTGTGTCTTGCAAAGTGCCTGAAGCAATTCTCAAGGTGGGGTGAGAACAATCTTGCTGAAAGGTGCTTGCTACTGCACTGTAAAATTGATATCAGGATATCTGCTTAATAGAATCCAAGGAGTTTAGAAAAATCCAGGCCTTAGCAGAAAAACAACACACCCACCTCTCTGAATCCAACTTCATCAGTGTGTGAACATCAGAACAGAACTGGACACCAGTCACTGTGCAGCTTGGGTAAGCCTCACTGTTGAGAAGATAAAATCAAGATCTTTAAGGAACATGCTCACCTGTGAAAAGGACGTGATGGAGCTTGATCAGTCCTGCCCATCCCATCCCTGGCCTCACAAGGGAACAGAGACTGGGCTGGTCCCATGAAATACAGAATACGTCTTTAGAAAGCTGTTGTAGCAGTGATTGGTTAAAAATGGGACATTACCTTATGAATGTATTTATTTTATTTTTGTATATTTATATCCCATATTTCACCCATCTTGGGACCCAAGGTGTTGTACAAGTGGTACCCAGGCAGTCTCCCATCCACCTTCAGTGAGTGACTATTACTAGCTAGAGAAGAAAGGGGAAGAGGGAGGGATGTGCTTAGAGGCATGGGTATCAACTTATAGTTGCACTTACTGGAAATGTTTGATGACTAGGGAGGGATCCATAATATCTTTGGGAATCCTGGTAACCATCAGGGTCCGGGCCACCTTAGGGAGAAGAAAGGGAGAAAGTCCCTGAAAAAAGGAGACACCCGAGAGCAACAGGACCAGACTACCCCCCTCCTGCAAATCAGCAGGGTATCCAGAATTCTGTACAGATAAAGCTTAATTCTGAAATTTTGCCAAGGCATTAAGACACTATGCAAAGTGGTAAGCTGTTAAACACATATTTATGCTGCTTTATTTTATGGGTTTCTTTCTTTTGTGTTTTTTTTTTAATACTTATTGTAGGCCACCCAAATAATTTTGTTATGGGATGGCATGAAAATTAAAATAAAAGGAACCCAAGACGGAGTTCTCATTTTTGGTCTACAGCTCTCATTAAGGACACAGACACCAGACTCCAAAATTCCCCAACAGTGGATGGTTACCTGACTGAAACATACTGGGATCCATTCTCTCTTTAAAAAACTTTTGAATTAAATTAACTTTCCCACCTGCAGCTAGTTCATAACATTAATAAAGATTTTAAAAATATTGTTTATACAGGAGTCTTTCCTACATAAGACGCTTGCCTCATTGGTTTTCTGAGCAATTTGCGAAAGGCCACCTAGTAAATTAGTTTACAGCTGGCTTGGGATTTCAACCCACCTCCTTCCAGAGCATTCTAACCATACCAGTGTGAACTTCTTGAAACCAGCTTTGGACCCAAGGATCTCCCTTAGTAAAGGACAATGAAAACACATTGCCCAGAGTTTCTCTGAAAGGGCAGAAGGGGAAGGCGTGAATGGGGCTACTGAATTTCTTACCTTCTCATTCTCTTTGTATTCAAGTTGGATGGAGTGATGAGCCATGCAGAGCACAGTGATGATGAAATAGAGGAGGGCAAAGATGCTGTGCAGCCACAGGAGACGGTCACTACAGGAGACAAAAGGAAATACATTTTTTTCAAACAGGAAATACAAGGGATCTTGGCCAGAATATAAGGAAGCCACAACCGTTTCCTGAGGAACACCTAGAATTCCTCATTAGGGGATGTAGGCAACAACTTCCACCTTCACATAACAATATCACAGTTTCATGGAGAGAGGGCTAGCCCAGAAGTACCCCAAATTACCCCTGCGTTTTTACACACACAAAAAGCTTCCCAATAGTTGTAAAAGAAAGAACCAAGTAGAACCTTAGTGTCAGGGAACTGCCATCGGAAGGAAGGGAGGTGAAAGGACTCAGACAGGTTGGAAGAGACTCAGCAGCTGAAGAGGGAACCAGCAAGGGGAGAGAAGCTGAACTGAGGGAGGTGAAAGGGCTCAGACAGGTTGGAAGAGACTCAGCAGCTGAAGAGGAAACCAGCAGGGGGGAGAGACGCTGAACTGAGGGAAAGGGAGCTGGGGGGGATGGCTCAGAGATACTTCCAGCGAAAACAGTGGTGATGTTTCCGGACCTCCTGTAGGGACACCCACCCCTCGCCGGAAACTGTCACGCAGAGAGTCCAGAAGACGTGTTTCCGTTAAGGAGCTTTATGTTGGAAGCGATTACGAAAGCAACCACTGTCGGAATCTTCTAGTGACTAGAGGAGCCATGTCAGAGGGGCTCAGTCACAGACAGAGGTTTGTGGACTTGAACAAACTCTGAGGGAATACGATTTTACGCACAAGCAGCTCATCTTCCCATCACAGCATTCCGACAGTCTTTGAACGCAGCTTGTGCAGGAGAAGGCATAATGAGCAACCCAGCAGGAACCGGAGAAGCAGGGGCTGGAGCGGGTCCAAGCCTGGAAGAAAGGTACCGGGTGTTGGAGGTCCAGCTGGCGCTGCAGACGGCGAGGCTTGAGGAGAGGAGGGCTCAAGATGCAGACAAAAGGGAGAAAGCCACCCAGCTCGCCAGAAAGGTACCAGGATTGGTGCAGAAATTTGGGGGGGAGCCCAAAGACTATCATAGCTTTCGGACAGAAATGCAATATGCCCTCAATCTGCAGTTTGATGATTCCCTGATGAGGAATCACGAGTGGCTTTTGTGATTGGGCATCTTGAAAAGGGGCGAGAGACTGGGTTAGACCCCTGATGGCAGCGCATAGTGACGTCCTAAAGGACACGATGAAGTTCTTTCGCGCCATGGATCTGATGTTTTCCAGCGATATTGAAAAGGGAGTGGTGCGCAGACAGTTAATGGCTTGCAAACAGGGGAGCCGATCTGTACGTGAGTACTGGACTGAGTTCACCATGCTGATACACAGATTGGGGTGGGACTTATCGGCGGAACCCATTCAAATGCTCTTTGAAGAAGGGCTTTCTTCGGCTGTGAAAGATGAACTTTCCCGGGCGCCCAGGGCGGAGTCTATGGACCAGCTGACCAAATCAGCGCTGGCCATAGGAGCGCGCCAGGAGGCGAGAGCATTGGAGAGGCGGGAAGGGAAAGGGGAACGTTGGAAGGAGTTCCGCATTCCAGACATTCCAGAGCCAACTTCCCGCCGGCAGAGCCGATGGAAATCGGAACAGCGCGCGCGCGCGCAGTTTCAAAGCCCAGTGAGGGGGGCAAGAAGGATGGAAAAGGCGCCCGGAAATGCTATCTCTGCCAACAGCCAGGGCACTTTGCCAGAGTCTGCCCCCAGAGGAAGGACTGGCAAGGGATGGTGGGAGCTGTGGAGGGAAGAGAGGAAAAATACCGGAGCAACTAAAAGCCAACGCCTGGCTGCCATTGTCGGGGCACAGCAGCCAGGCCAAAGAGCAGTGAAAGTGCCCACGCCAGAACCTCCTAAACCCGCCCTAGTGATAGAAGTGACACTAGAGCTGCCAAACGGACACCCTCTAAAGATAAAGGCGCTGTTGGACTCAGGCAGCTCCTGCAATTTCATGAGCAAAGAGTTTGCAGCTGAACACCAGATACAGACGCTCCCTTTAAGCAACCCCTGCAGGTAACCACGATCGATGGCAGGGAGCTGTTGGGAGGAGAAGTCAGCTTGCAGACCGTCCCAATGATAATGAAGGTGGCAAGGCACACCGAACTAATAGCTTTTAATGTGGCCACCTTGGGAGGAGCTCCCATTATATTGGGGATGAGCTGGCTAGCGTTACATGATCCGCTGGTGGGCTGGCATCAAAGAGTGGTTTCTTTTGGGTCAGCATATTGCTTAGAACACTGCAAAGAGGGAAAGGTATTGGCAGGGGCCCAAGCCACCCTAGCAGGGACTGAAGTAACGGAGAACGTGAAGATACCACGACAATACGCAGATCTCCGCGACGTCTTCAGCGAAAGGGAAGCTGACCAACTACCACCGCATAGAGCCTTTGACTGTCAAATCAATTTGCTCCCTGGGGCACAGCTCCCTGTGGGCAAGCTGTACGCCATGTCAGACAGAGAGATGCAGGAGCTAAGAGAGTTCATTGACAAGAACCTGAAGAGAGGGTTCATCAGAGAGTCCAGGGCGGTGGGGGGCAGCCCAGTGTTTTTTGTGGACAAAAAAAACACCCAAAACAAGGAAGGATGTGCAGAGGTTTTTAGGATTTGGGAACTTCTATCGTAAGTTCATCCCAAACTTTGCCCACCTGACGGCGCCCATTACGGACTGTCTCAGCAGTAAGAAGAAGTTCGTTTGGACGGAGGAGGCGGAGCAAGCATTTGAGGAACTCAAAGGGCCTTCGCCTCGGAACAACAGCTCCTGCATGTGGATTTACAAAAACCGATGAGAGTGGAAACTGACGCATCAGACAGAGCGGTTGGGGCGGTGCTTCTCCAGCCAGGGAAGGAGGAGTCAGAGTGGAGACCGTGTGCTTTTTTTCGCGAAAGCTGAACAAATCCGAGAGGAACTACACGGTGTATGACCGAGAACTACTAGCCATTCATGAGGAGTTCCGGAGATGGAGGCACCTGCTAATTGGCGCACAACATAAGGTGCAAGTGTGCACTGACCACAAGAACCTAGAGTATTGGAGGACGGCACGAGTGCTCAACCAACGGCAAGTGAGGTGGGCCCAGGAATTCTCCAAATTTAACTTTGAGATTTGTTACGTGCCAGGCCCAGAGAACATTAGGGCGGACGCTCTCTCACGCAAACCTGAATAGTTGGAGGGGGAGGGAGCACCCGAAGAGAGACATGTCATTCCAGAGGACCGCTGGGTGTGTGGGGCGGCATTGGTGGGACAAAGAGAACTGGTAGAAGAAACAGAGAATGATGAATACGCCCAGAATAAGCTCAGAGGTCTTAGGGATGAGGGAGAGGAATCAAGGGGTTTCGAGGAAAGAAATGGAGCTTTGTATTACAAAGGGGCACTGTATATCCCTGAAGGAGACTTAAGGGGAGGGTACTCAAGCAGTTGCATGACAGCCCCACGGCAGGGCATTTTGGGCAACACAAAACCATGTGGTTGGTCACCAGGGAATTTTGGTGGCCTAAGGTGAGGGAGGATGTACGTGAGTATGTAAGAGGGTGCGAGCAGTGCCAGCGAGCCAAAGGGGAAAGGCGGGCGCCGGCGGGGCTATTAGAACCCTTACCAACACCAGAACGACCTTGGGAGGCAGTGTCGATAGATTTTATGACTGATCTGCCGAAGTCCAAAGGGAAAACAGCCATCATGGTGGTGGTAGACCTACTAACAAAGATGTGCCACTTTGTAGCTTGCTCGCATGCAGTCACGGCGGAAGAGACAGCGAAGTTATTTGTAGAACACATTTTTAGGTTGCACGGGGTGCCATTGAGGGTGGTCTCAGACCGAGGAAAACAATTTACTTCCAGGTTCTGGAGGAAGCTCATGAGCTTACTGCAGGTGGAGGTCAACTTTTCGACTGCCCGGCACCCTGAAACCAACGGGCAGGCGGAAAGAGCAAACGGTGTCCTCCAGCAATACCTGAGGTGTTATGTCAATGACAGAGAGAATGACTGGGTAGAAAAGTTGGCGCTGGCGGAATTTGCCTACAACAATGCCGAGAATGTGTCCACAGGGATGAGCCCCTTCTTGGCTAATTATGGGTGTCATCCCAGGGCTTTCCCAGGGGAGAAGGGGAGAGATGGAGCGTACCGGCAGCCGAGCATTTTGTAGAAGAAATGGAAGCAATCCACCGTCAGCTCCAACTCAACTTAGAAAGGGCGAAGGAAGAATACAAGAGGCAGGCAGACAAGAACCGAAGGGAAGGTGAAACCATAAGGGTTGGAGATAGGGTGTGGCTGTCAACCCGAGGGGTGCCGTTCAAAGGAGGTTGTAAGAAATTAAGACCCAGGAGGTTGGGTCCCTTTGAGGTCATTCAACAGGTCAACCCAGTGGCTTTCAGGCTCCGGTTACCCAACCACATGAAACTGCACCCAGTATTTCACAGGTCGTTACTGTCACCGTACGAGGGGGGACGAGAAGGGATGGCCACTCGGGGACCGGTCATAGAAGAAAGAGAATGCAGCAGTCATGTGGCAGAAATCCTTGATGCCAGGTGGAAGGGGAATCAGGTGGAGTATTTGGTAGCGTGGGAAGGAGAACCGGAGTCAGAAAACACGTGGGTAATGGCCGAAGATATCAATGACGAGGTATTGATAGAAACGTTCCATCAAAGGTTCCCGAGGAAACCTCAGCCTGTGGAGAGGTTCCGGAGGGAATACTTTGGGACCACTGAGGAGGAGGAGGAGTTGGAAGGATTCCCAGAATCGGAAGGGGAAGGGGAGATGGACTCGGAGGAGGAGGAGTGCTTCGAGACCAGGAACCGCAACAGGTGGAGAGAAGTGTTCGAGACATCGGAAGATGAAGGAAGTTCATTCCGGGTTTTGCCTCCTCACCGCCCGTGGAGGAGGGGCGAGAGGGGGTGAAGGGGGCCCTGGAGGGGAGGTGGATGTCAGGGAACTGCCATCGGAAGGAAGGGAGGTGAAAGGACTCAGACAGGTTGGAAGAGACTCAGCAGCTGAAGAGGGAACCAGCAAGGGAGAGAAGCTGAACTGAGGGAGGTGAAAGGGCTCAGACAGGTTGGAAGAGACTCAGCAGCTGAAGAGGAAACCAGCAGGGGGAGAGAAGCTGAACTGAGGGAAAGGGAGCTGGGGGGATGGCTCAGAGATACTTCCAGCGAAAACAGTGGTGAGGTTTCCGGACCTCCTGTAGGGACACCCACTCCTCGCCGGAAACTGTCACGCAGAGAGTCCAGAAGACGTGTTTCCGTTAAGGAGCTTTTATGTTGGAAGCGATTACGAAAGCAACCACTGTCGGAATCTTCTAGTGACTAGAGGAGCCATGTCAGAGGGGCTCAGTCACAGACAGAGGTTTGTGGACTTGAACAAACTCTGAGGGAATACGATTTTACGCACAAGCAGCTCATCTTCCCATCACACTTAGTTCCTGGATCTTTGTTACCCTACGCATTGAGATCATCACAGAGTCATGCATGTTGGAGATGGAAATATGGGGAACAGGTCAAGGACCAACAGTAGACGAGAAGGTAGAAAATTGCACAGTGCGTAAAAACAGTGACCCTGAATTTGTTGCCATGAGGTTGTAGCAATGTTCAAAAGAATTCTTGCAGCCAGTGACGAACCCTGGCGGATTTGATATTATTCCCTTCTCCCCCTGCCCCCCATATTTGCTTTGCTGTAGAGGATAAAAACATTTCCTGTTTGTGGCTTCCACCAAAAACTTATTGCTCATACCAACTGCACAGACCAGGTACATACATGGGTACACATGCATAAGGTAAAGGTAAATGACTCCTGGACGGTTAAGTCCAGTCAAATTCAATTATGGGGTGTGGCGCTCAATTCCGCTTTCAGGCTGAGGGAGCCGGCGTTTGTCCACAGACAGCTTTCCAGGTCATGTGGCCAGCATGACTAAACCACTTCTGGCACAACGGGACACTGTGATGACTGCCAGAGTGCACAGAAACGCCACTTGCCTTCCTGCCACAGCAGTACCTATGTATCTACTTGCACTGGTGTGCTTTTGAACTGCTAGGTTGGCAGAAGCAGGGGCAGAGCAACGGGAGCTCACCACTGTCACGCGGATTCGAACCACCGACCTTCCGATCGACAAGCCCAAGAGGCTTGGTGGTTTAGACCACAGCGCCACCCGCTCCCCTCCACATACCACTAATCCACATACTAGGAGCACTGCAATACTAAATGAAACAGGTATGTGCTAAAAGCTTAGGCTTAAAAACAAAACGCCCACAAATTGGGGTGGGTGGGTTAATACTAAAAAGTATGGAGGTGATCCAATTATGTGTGCACATTCAGAGTTGCTTCATTTTTTAAGCGGGGATAATCACAACCGCATACCGTACTTTTCTCTCTATAACACGGAGATTTTTTCTCCTAAAAAGTAAGGGGAAATGTCTGGGCGTGTTATTGAGCAAATGTGTGGTCCCTGGAGCTGACTGGCCCGAGTGCAGGGGCAAAAATCCAATCGCGCGCGTCAGGGAGGAGGGAGCTCCGTGAGAGAGGAAGCTGTTGCTTTCCTGCATTCTGCCTCAGGGTCTTATTGCCCACCCTCTTCTGTTTCGGTTGCTGTTTGCTCAAACGGAACAAAGAGCAGGCAAATCCCCTCCCCTCCAGGCAAGCAGAGGGGAAAGGAAAGGATCACGTCCTTCCTTCTAATTCCTCTCCGTGCTCCGGTGCTGCTGCGTCCAGGGAAGCATTTTAGGGACTCGCAGGCAGCCAGAAAACATGCAGGTGGGGGAGGGGGGGAGAGAGAGAGAGAGAGAGGGGGCTGGCTTGGGTGGGTGAAAACTTTTGCCTTCCTTTCCTCCCTCCCGTTAAACCCCTCTCCTGCATTCTTAACCAGCTGCTTCTCTGCACACCCCTCTCATGCTCCTTGTCCCTTCTGTGTTTTTCCTTCCCTCCCCACTTAAAACGTGGTTACAAAGCACGGATCCACATGGATCCTCAGGATCTTTGCATTGGGTCACCCCAAATTCACCATCAGATCACAGAGCATGTCCATGGCTACAGCCTGCACCAAAAAAATCACGCACCCACTGTTGCCTGGGGCCACAATGGTGCAACAACGTGGTTACAAAGCACAGATCCACAGGGATCCTCAGGATTTTTGCATTGGGCTACCCCAAACTCACCATCAGATCACGTGTCTGTGGCCACAGCATGAGGCACAAAAATGATACATCCACTGTTTCATTCAGAATTTCCCCCCCTTGTTTTCCTCCTCTAAAAACGATGTGCGTATTATGGTCAAGTGCGTGTTATAGAGCGAAAAATACAGTACCTTCCTGCCACAGCAGTACCTATTTATCTACTTGCACTGATATGCTTTTGAACTGCTAGGTTGGCAGATGCTGGGACAGAGCAATGGGAGCTCACCCCGTCGCGTGGATTCAAACTGCCGACCTTACAATCGGCAAGCCCAAAAGGCTCAGTGGTTTAGACCACAGCAGCCACCTTACCACATGCATACACACACAGGGATTATAATGTTAAGAAAAATGGATCCAGGACATGCTGATGAAGGACTCTTGGTATGTAAATGGTCCTCATTTGTTCCCAACGGTCATCACTACAAGCAGCAAAAACAACAGAACTCTGAGGAAAAGAAATCACGTACTCTTTGGGGACATTCGCAATTGTGGTTCGGCCAAAATTAGCTGGATGCTTCCCTGGGAGATGAGAGAGAGAGAGAAAGAGAGATATGAGTTGTCACAGACACCAGAGGGCACGGTCACAAGAGATGCCTTTAAAAAAATCCCCTCGTTTCCACAACCATGCCTCCAACATTATGCAAACAGCAGCATTTGGGGGCTCAGTACAAGGATGGTGACAAGGGTCCCTCAGGCCTGGGGTCCGAATGCAGCTCTGTCGCCATACACCACTAATTACCTTGTGGGAGAGCAACTGGAGGGGTTTCTGTGCCCTGCCCTGGCGCAGTCTACGTACCCAAGAGATCCCCAGAGAAGTTGACAGGGAGGACCACAGCCACTGAGAGTACGCAGATGATCAGAAGCAGCACCAAGACATGCCGCTGGAAGGAGAGGTAGGTGGTGGCATCGATTCCACACTTGCTTTGGATTTCCTCATCCCTTGAGAGAGAGAGAGAGAGAGAGAGAGAGAGAGATATGAAGGCATGTCAGCACAGAGCCACAAAATCCCATCTGTTTCCCTTCCTTTCCTTTCTTGAGAGAAAGAAAACATTAAACAACAGAGATCATCACATTCTCAGGTCCAATGCAAAATGGACGACTAAGCAGTGGCTTTACAACCATGTTTGATAGGGATTCGTGTCCACACATCTAGCGGAGTAAAATGGCTGACGGAAAACGGCAACGGTGTTAGGATTTAATTACATAAAAAGTTGGAATAAGACATGTAATAGTCATCACCCAAAAGTAGCATGTACTCACTTCATCTGGTAGACTGACAGGAGCCAGGAACAGAATCCCTAGAATGGAAGTTGGAGAAACAGAAAGATATCAGTTAGGCAAGAACCGCTGATCTATTGATGTTCCTACCACTCTCCAAAAATTAGGGATATGTCCGCATTTGCAACTGTGTTGGAATTATATGGTGCAGATCAATGTAACTGAGCATGATCCTAGATAAACATTAAGAGAAAGAACACACAAGTAAGTGCCCTTTGCTTTCCCTGTGCATTTTCACAGAAAAACCCAGTAGAGTACTAGTCACTGTCAAAGGCAGTAGACTTGGAGAGATGGACCATTTGTCTGACGCAGCTTGGCTCTTAATAAATAAATAATTAGTATTATTTGTTATTTATATCCCACCCATCTGGCTGGGTTTCCCCAGTCACTCTGGGCGGTTCTCAACAGAATATTAAAAACACGATAAAACATCAAAAATTAAAGCTTCCCTAAACAGGGCTGCCTTCAGATGTCTTCTAAAAGTCAGGTGGTTTATTTCATTGACATCTAGTGGCAGGGCATTCCACAGGGCGGGGCCACTACCGAGAAGGCCTTCTGCCTGGTTCCCTGTAACCTCACTTCTCGCAGTGAGGGAATCGCCAGAAGGCCCTTGGAGCTGGACCTCAGTGTCCACGCAGAACGATGGGGGTGGAGACGCTCCTTCAGGTATACAGGACCGAGGCCGTTTAGGGCTTTAAAAGTCAGCACCAACACTTTGAATTGTGCTCAGAAATGTACTGGGAGCCAATGTTTCACTGTTACGTTCCAGATAAGAACAATGTAATCCGATGAACAGTTTTTCAGAAAATGGCAGGATTAGAAATAGTGAAAGCAATTCATGAAGATCATTAGGCTACCAAGCATCACCTCCCATTTGTCTGCCTTATGATGAATAATATCATAGCGTAATTGGCGGGTTTCCAGAAAAGCACTATTCACTCTGAAAACATTAGTCATCTCTACTCCCCTCACCCTTTCTTGAATGTCTGGTTGACCCAATTTACATACAGTGACAGAAGCTCCTTTCAGCAGAATGAGGCTCCATCCTAATTTCCCCACTTAAGCTTACCACATCTTTGTTGTCAGCGTCCAGTGGGCTGGTCTCTGATGGGGATTTCTCCTTTTCACTTTGCTCTCCATAGAAGAGCGATGTGAGGCTTCATGTATCCAGCAAGAGAGACAGAAAGAAAGAGCATGTGGTTGGGAGAAGCACAGGGGGAGCAAAGAAGAAGAGAAGAGAGGAGGTCAGTATGAATGAGAGTTGGGGAAGAAGAAAAAGGAAAGAGGAGAAAGAAAAACATTATTCTGATCAGACCAACTGTTAAGTGTCTTCACCCCACAACCCAGGAAAGCAGAGAGGACCGCAAGAGGAAGGGTGAGAGAGAAAGACAAAGTGGGCATTTTTAAGCTGCACCAACAGCACTCCATGATTATGTTAAAGCTCAAGAAAGCCACTAGGGATCAAGTGTCTCCTCTTCTCCAATGAATGAAGCAGTTTCAGTTTCACAAGTATTGTTGTGTACTGACTTGAAGGGGCAGGAGGCTCCCTGGCAGCCAAAAGCAGAAACATCTTAAATGAAATGCACTATGGCTGTACATATCCACATATGCCACATACTCTTGATTGCATGGAATCAGTCAATTAAACTATTAGAACGTGTTCTATTGCCCCAACCCTGCTTGCTCCTACCAAAAGAGCCCCCTAAGTTCAAAGTGTGTGGGGCAAGGGAGAGGTCTCTGTAGGTGGAACAGAAAAAATGTGTTTGTATGAGTTTGGGATTCTGCAAAAGCCATGGACTTCTTAAGCTGTCAGACCACCAACTCGATCCTTCTGACAATATTTGATAAATATTTGACAATATTTATCACGCCAGTGTACCAGGCCCTTTTTGAGCAGCTAGAAGCTCAGGGCTATCAGAGACCCTCTTGGTGCAAAGCAGATGTTCTATGCCCTTCAATTCTCCATCACCTGAATTCAGCCTGGATTCTGCTACCACAGGGAGACCAAGCATTTTCCTCCATTTCTTTTTCACTATTTGGGGTTATAGTGGTGCACAGTTATAGATGGCTGCACAGTTGCTGCCTCTGCTCCAGGAAAGTGACATCATTGAATCTGTTACATCATCACAGATAAGACCTCACTGATCCAGCACAGAGCCAATGTTTCCATGGGATGAGGAAAGAAAATTCCCTGTGAAAAGGAAATTGGGCAAGGGCAGAAGTTTGTGGAGGATATAGCAGGACTTTGCTTCTTCCTCCTGCTGCTGCACTCTAAATTAACACATATAACCAGCATGGCACGGAGCTCTGCTCAGTGATTTTCCTGGCAAACCAGAATGGTGGGGGTTCTTTAAGACTGTGAATTTTGACTCCCACCCACTTCCAATGTGCACTTTGCAAGTAGGCCGGGATCCGTATCAACAGCCACTCTTTCCCAGGACTGCGGTTGGAGATCCAAACTTCATGAACGATAGGGGGGAAATCTGATTTGAACAAAAACTTACCTCAGCTTCTTTGCTATTACTATCTAGGAAAGGAGCACTATAAGGAAGGGAAGGGATAAATGACACCCAGAGCCAAATCAAACTACCAGTGGAAAGTGACAGACCCTTTAGATGAAGATGCAGCAGAAATAATCTCAAGTGATATTGGAAGAGGAATCCTGGATCAGAATTTCAAGAATGGTTATTTCAGAGCTGTGGTGTCTGAAATAAGGGATGCCCACTGCGTACAATGGAAGTGTGTCATTTTAGAATGAAGGATAGCACTTGAAATCAACTAAAATCAGGAACCGCAACATTAGTGTGATATTGTAAAAAACAAAATTGAAAGTGTCAGATGTTGACTTTGACCGTTTCCCGTGCCCCACACATGTAAACGAACCAGAAGTAATTTTTTTCACCTCCTGATTGGGAACAAAACCATAACCAAACAATCCCACCATCACCAGATAGCCAACATCCCAGAGCGTAAGGATCAGGAGAACTTTCTAGAAGAGCGTGACCAGAAGCTATTCCATGCCATTTGAGTATAATCCCTATAGGGAATGTCTTGTGAAGGAAAGGAAAGCTACTGTAAGGTGAAGATTAGGTGGGTCCATTTCAATTTTCTATTTTTTTTAAAAAAACCCACTAGGTTGGAGTGAGGCTTAGTCCTACTTAAAGTTCACTGAAACATAAAATTTAAATCCCATTGAAGTCAATGGGTTTACTCTGAGTAGGAATAAGTCCTAATCCAGCTCAATGAAGGAAGGGCAAACTCATCTGATTTGAAACTTGTTAACACATTTTTTTGAATTCTCTTTCACCTGCATAGGTTCAGGTCATTTGTACAAGAAAAATAAGATCCCCACTGCCTCCAATGGATTTTTTAAACGGTTCCCTCAAGGATAGGGAGCCCCAAGTACAGGCAGGGAAACACAACATTGTTCCTTTTCACTGTGAGAAATTCAGGTGAGAAAGTGAGGTAATTTTGGGAAAGTTGTCTGCCCCTTGTGGGGGCTGGACCAAACTCTCCTTTAAAAAAAGTGGGGATTCCTTTCTTTCACAAGAATTCCTATCTTCCCAATGTTTCAGTCCCATTGTCACCATCATATCATTACTCATAGGAGTTCCATGTGCTTGGAGGAAAACGGCTGATTTTAAAAAAAGGGGGAGGGGTGGTAGGAGAGAAATCATAACAATAATTAGATCCAATAATAATAAACAACAACAACAACTGCTACTACGGATTCACACAGTTCTTCTAAACTGCTTCAAGCAACGTTATCAAAGGGCGATAGGCAAGAGTTCTAAAACACAATGGAGGTAGCTAGAACATCCTTTTGTTTATTCTGCTCAACAAACATAAAATATCAAAGCACTGCACTTAACACAAGAAAATACAGATAACAAAAATACTATATCTATCTATCTACCGTATTTTTCGCTCTATAAGACGCACCTTTTCCCTCCTAAAAAGCAAGGGGAAATGTCTGTGCGTCTTATGGAGCTAATGCAGGCTACACGGCTATCCCAGAAGCCAGAACAGTGAGAGGGATTGCTGTGCAGCGTTCCCTCTTGCTGTTCTAGCTTCTGGCTTAGCCTCTCTGTCCCTTCACCCACCTCTCGGAAAAGCCCCCAAGAGCCGAGCCGAGCTCTTGGGGACTTTTCCCCGAGGAGGGAGAAGGGCAGCCCGCCGGAAAAAAGCCTGCAAGCACCGCACACACACTCCTCATGGCTCGTGAAAGGGAGTGCTGAGCAGAGCCTGGGATGCATACAGGCTCTGCTCAGCGCTCCCTTTAAAGAATATTTTTTTTCTTGCATCCCCCCTCTAAAAACTAGGTGCGTCTTATGGTCAGGTGCGTCTTATGGAGCGAAAAATACGGTATATCTATCTATCTATCATCTATCTATCTATCTATGATCTCAATTGGCTGGATTCAACAAACCTGGTGCACAACTAGAAGCCAGCACAAGGGTTTCTGCTACTGCAACAGGGCTTTCTCCCCTCTCCTCTCCCCACACCTCCCCCAAATCCACTTTGGAGGGTTGGCAGAACCACACTCCCGCCAAACAGTGAGCGGGGAGAGGGAAGGGGAGACCATTCTGTCTGGCAAGCAGAAATGTTTGCGCTGACAGAACTATCAAAATAATGTGTTGCTGAATTCCTCCTGCTGTGCTGCATTCTGAGGTTTCTGCCGTCAGAGCAGTGAACACATGCTCATGTGCACTAGAAAACTTTGTTTCCTTGGTAAGAAAGCTGACTTGATCCGGGTTCCATGCATGTTGTACAGCAGGCACTGGAGGGACCCCTTCAATCATTCTTACACTCCCTCAGCCATGGAGATTCTAGGACATCTTTGCCCACTGGGATCCCATCTTGGGGCTGCTGCTGGCCGCTGCCCTTGTTGCCAGCCCAGCAGCACCAGTCAACCTTTCCTGGGGCTATTATTTTGGGTAACAGAAAACTGCCCTCCTATTATTCTCCATCCTTTTAGGAAAGCTGAATTCTTACCTGTCATTGTCCATAAGCAAGGCCAGGCGCCCATAGTCCCAAGCTGCTTTCCGAAGGCAGGAGAAAACCAGCAGGAGGAACTGGAGGAGACAGAAAAGCAACAGCTTAGGGGACCCTCTTCATGGGACTGAGAGGAGCCCACCCTTAAGACGTGTCCTTCCCCTTTATCTATGGCCTCACATCGTGACAGAAGCCTGGTTTTCTTTTTTAACCTATAAAGCCTTAAATGGCTCAGGATTACAATACTTCAGGGACAGCCTCTCCTCATATGAACCAACCCAGACCCAGCAACCATCATCTGAGGCCCTTCTTCATGTGCCTGTCTATGAAATGTCCAGAATGTGGCAACACAAGAACAGGTCTTGGTGGCTCGCCCCAGGAAGGCTCACCTGGTTCCTTCATTACGTATCTTTAGGCACCAGGCAAAACCAGGCCTTTGGTGTTTAACTATGTGTGGCCTTTTAGAAAAGGGTGATAATAATAATATTAAAATACAGCAATGCACCAAACATTAAAAGCTTCCCTAAACAGGGCTGCCTTCAGATGTCTTCTAAAAGTCTGGTCGTCGTTGTTCTCTTTGACATCTGGTGGGAGGACGTTCCACAGGGCGGGTGCCACTACCAAGAAGGCCCTCTGCCTGGTTCCCTGTAACTTGGCTTCTTGCAGTGAGGGAACCACTAGAAGGCCCTCGGCGCTGGACCTCAGTGTCCGGGTAGATGTGAGATGTTTTAAACATATTTCTTTTTCTTCTTGTTTTTAATGTATCTATGTGCAGTTTTTTTGTTTGGTTGGTTGTAAGTCGCTTTGGGTTGTCGCAAGATAAAGGAACCAAGAAATTCAATAAATAATAATAATAATAATAATAAACCTTGTATGCAGTCATCCACATAGCATCAAAACAAACTTGGAAAAACTTTTCCATTACAAATTCAGCTCACATCCACAGGGTATACTTCAGTCTTAAGTGTTAAGATAATTTCTCAATAGTTGCTGCTACGACTGAGGGGAGGTTACTGTACTATTTTTAATAAATGATATAAATCGAGACCCTACAGAGTCAAACCCATCTTTCTTTGTGATTCCTCTTATCACCTCCCATGGCGAGTTAAGTGTTCCATAAGTGCTATATTCCACACATATTAGGTCCATGTTTCTGTGGTGGGAGGGGTGGTCCCCACCACCATTTGTCTTGCTGAACACCTCTGCTTTCACACATTTTGGTATTTTGTTAAAGGGCAGCACAAGTTGTTAGCTAAACAAAAATTCATGCCCAAACCTGCATTTGCTGAGATACTGTGAAAGTGAGATGGGAGAATGAATGGCCAGGAAGGAAGAGGGAGTGTTTAACCTTTATCATGCCTGCTGGTCTTCCCTTGCAAAGCACACAAACACTCAAGCCAAATTTCCCTTTTAAGTTGACTCCTGGACTTGGAAAAGGCGAAAAATATGGAGGAGGGACTAAACATTTCTTACCTAACTTGCAGTTTTCCCAGCAAGTCTCCCAACACCATACAACATTAGTGGTATAAGGATAACTTGGGGTTGGGGGTTCTGTTTTATGTTGTAACATGTAGCTCCACCCTAGGCTTTATCAGAAAGAAGCAACTTTCTTTAGAAGCAGAATAACATGAACTGTGTACAGCAGTGTCATCAATTATCAAGCGTTATTCTACATACAGCAGCACTGATAACATGGCAAACTCAGGATGGAGAAACATCTGCATATGACTTTTTAAGGTAAGCTACTATCAGTGTGGAACATTTTTAGTGTGTTCTCTTCTAACCGCTTCCCCTTTGGGGAAACAAGACAGTGATTTGTATTTTTGGAAACAAGAACGTAAGAAGAGCCTGCTGGATCAGGCCAACAGCCCATCAAGTCCAGCATCCTGTTCTCACAGTGGCCAACCAGATGCCTGAGGGAAACCAGGGAGCAGAACATGAGAACAACAGCTACTGTTTCCAGAAACTGGTAGTCAGAGGCATATTGACTCTGACAATGGAGGCAAATTATAAAAAGGTAAAAAGGTAAACGACCCCTGGATGGTTAAGTCCCGTCAAAGGCGACTATGGGGTTGTGGCATTCATCTCACTTTCAGGCGGAGGGAACTGGTGTTTGTCCATAGCAGCTTTCTGGGTCATGTGGCCAGCACAACTAAACCGCTTCTGGTGCAACGGAAAACCGTGACGGAAACCAGAGCACATGGAAACACTGTTTACCTTCTGGCCGCTGCAGTACCCATTTATCTACTTGCACTGGTGTGCTTTCAAACTGCTAGGTTGGCAGGAGCTGGGACAGAGCAACGGGAGCTCACCCTGTTGCGGGGATTCGAACCGCCGACCTTCTGATTGGCAAGTCCAAGAGAATTGGTGCTTATACCACAGCGCCACCTGCGTCCCCCAAGGCAAATTATAGCCACTGTGGATAGTATATACAGATAGTATGCATGCATAGACACTGGGAAGAGTTGAAACAAGAGCAAACGGCTTATCTAATAATGAATGTGAAGCTGAATGTGAAGCTGAATGTGAAGCTGAATGTGAAGCAATGTGGATCCCGAGTAAATGGTTAATAATGAGATATTAAGGACCTTCCGTCTTCACTCACCAACCAGATGATGAAGTTAAGGGCAAGCACCGTGGGTACACCGCCAAACGGCAGCCCTTGCAGGACAGAGCTGCGGGAATGGGCGTTGAAGCACTGCTCTGTGCTGTTGTTTTGGGCATCCAGGAATATGGAGTCATCCAGGGAGATGGAGCTCCAGTTTCCTGCCAGAGGATCAGTTCTGTACATCCTGTCCATCTATGAAGCTGGTGGTCTCCTAGAGAGCTTTACTCTGTAAAATACCTGGGTAAAGTTAAGAGGGGCAGGGTTGAAAGAGACTTTAAAAGCTCTATTTATTTAGTAAGCTTACATGCTGCTTACAATACATAAAATATCTTGAAGGGGTTTACAATAAGGAGCCAAAGACTTTAAAAACAGTAAAAGATCATGGACTTTAAGATATGCAGCAAACTCAGTATACAAATACAGATAACATATGCAAATAACATCATTTTAAAAACTCAAATGGAATACAATCCTTGAACTAATAAGCAATATGATCCAGCAATCCGCCAGGAAACATCTAACCAAAGAGATACTGGCTTGGTTTGCATACCATGCTATACCAAACCATAGTTTAGCAAACATGTGCAACTGTGCAGTTCCTGGTAGAGAAGAGTGCAGCTACTCTGCACTGTGGTCGGTCCATTGCTGCACTGTGCTAACCCACAATTTGGCGCAGTGTGTCATCTGAATCTGGGCTTGTGATTTAGCTATTTCCAGCCTAACTAAAAGCTGTAAGCAAGGTTTGTCCTATAGTTTACAGCTTCTGGTTTGTCCAGAAGAGCTAAAGCACGAACTCATATTTGGATGACAAGATAAGCCAAACCATAGTTTAGTGAAGCACAGCAGAAAGACCATGGAGAAGCAAAGTGTTGGTGTAATTTGGAAATATGGGTGAAATTGCACTAACTGCTTGGTCTGTGTCTTGTCTCCCATCTGTTAAAACAGGGGTGGCTAACCTACGACCCTCTGGACTTTGATGTACTCTAACTCCCATTAGCTCCAGCCAGCCCAGCCAACGGTCAGGGAGGATGGGATTTGGAGTTCAACTGTTAAGACATGGGTACAGCCCTGTTCACCCTGAAATCACCAAGAACAATGAACAATAGGCTGCTGGATTACATAGACCTCAGCCTGAACCAGCAAAGCAATTCTTGTATTTGTTTTCCAACAGCTCTTAAATGGTCCCAATGCCAGGGAGGAGGCAAAGCACCAGTTGCAGTGAACTCACTTAAGAAGAGCCCTCCTTGCTGGATCAGGTCAAAGGCCCATCTAGTCCTGCCTCCTGTCCTCCATGGCAACTCGATGCCTGTGGGAAGCTCACAAGCAGGATCTGAGTGCAACACCACCCACTGTTGCTCTGCCTCATGCTCTAGGACAAGGACTTAGGAGTCTATCCTCTATCCTCTTTACACTTGTGGTTTCTTTTTTATTCATACCCGAGAAGAGTCATTCCCAGATTTAGACTCCGTTCCAGACACCAGGATCAGCCATCATCACCACTGCGGTGAAGTCAGTCCGCTACAAAACAAAAACAAAAAACAAACAATAACTTGTGGAAACTGAGTGACTTGAGCTGTACAGGCCCTCCGGTATTCTTTGCATCATTCTTTGTAATAATCCAGTGAAACGTGTCTTGCCACACCCCACCAACCCTTGCAAAACAAACATCTGTTTTGAGAGGCAGGAGTGTCCCGCTTAGATCTTCAGACATCCAGCTGAATTGGCAGCCACTGAATTGCTCAGGCCTGTAAGCATTTGTTTTCACCTGCCAACTTCCTTTGTTTCTAATGATCGCCCTAAACAGGACATGACTGGCAGTGAGGTAGAACAAACACAGCAAAGTCGTTCCACTAAACTCATTGCATGCTGCATGTGATAAGCTTTTTTAAAGTGGCATGCATACACACGATTTACATACTCTTTAATCAACAAAAACTTCTGATTTACATGAAACAATATAAAATAATTATTAAAAATACAGCTAACTCTGAAAAGTAAAAAAACACACAAGCCGGCATATTTTTTAAAATAAAAATATAACTAAATGAAATAAAACAATAAGTATGTGTGAAGCACCCTAATTTGGAAATTAATGTTCAACTACTCTGAGAACTGTAGCTCTGAGCGGGGAACAGGGATCTCCTTACAACTCTCAGCACCCTTAACAAATTACAGATCCCAGGATTCTTTGAGGAAAGCCATGTTTAAAGTGGTATCATAGTGTTTTAACTGTATGGTGTGAAGGTGTGGCCACAGTCTCCCTCTTTCAACAGACAGTCAGGTTGTGTATCCATAGCAGTGACCAGAGGAGGAATGACTGATGGGAGGAACACACAGAGAAGAAACGCCACGGTGCACAACCAGGCACTTTCATCTGCCCCACCTGCAACAAAACATGCCTCTCCCTTATCGGTCTCTATAAGCCACAGCAGGCACTTCCAACAGTTTGACTTCACCCCCAAAGGCGCACTCCTCCATTGTCTCCCAAGACAGAGGGAAGCCAACTCCCTCCTTCAAATGGGCAGTGGAAATAAGTCTCTTTTGTCTTTCAAAATGGCAGCAGAGTAATAGTGAAATCTGCCCTCTGTCTGAGTGTGCAGCTCCTTTCTGCCTGTGCCTGCCTTCTCTCTCCTCCCCTCTTTATGTAAACAGCAGGAAAGTCACCATCTGGCACTGCCAATTGCTGCATAATTCATTCCCCTTTTGTTAACAAGAGTGACCCTCACACAGAGAGAGCGTCTGGACCAGAGAGACTCCTAGGAACCTGCAGCTTTGAGTTTATTTTTCCCTGGCACAGAGAAGGCTTTTCAGGGTCAGCATTCTGGCTGTTTCCACAGTTTTTAGCTTTCCTATGCAAGAAAGCACTTTCCATGGCTTCTTCCATGGGTGTTACCATCACAATAATCCTATGAAGCATGTTAGGCCGAGAAGTAATGGCCAATTGGCTCAAGTGTGTTTACATACATATATAATTTTATTTTTATGCTACTTTTCCTCAGATCAAACCATGCTCAAGGTGGCTTGTAACATGAAAAAATACATAACTACAACATAACAAAAGCAACATTAAAACATTAAAAAAGACACAACCACACTGCACAATTTCCACATAAATGGAAAGATCTAAAATAAAGATACAAAACTCAACGGTAACAACCCCCCTAAACTGACAAATAACACCCCAGCCCAAGTGTCTGTTCAGCAGCCTCAGCTTTTGCAGCTGGAGTCAGTCCGGGCCCCAACCTCCCAGGCCAGGTGGAAAAAGGCCTGCAAGGCAGAGAGCAGGTCTTCCAGGACTCTCAGCCAACATGGGCTCTGGCCTCTTCAGCAGCCTCAACATTTGAGGTTTCACAATGTTTACATGTGATGTACATGTGCTGGGAAACTGCAGCCAAATATACCTTTCCTATACAAGTATGTGGGACCTTCACACATTAAGAAGCACTAATAATTTCCACACATTTACTATATAGAGGCATCTTTGCATAGAAAAATAAAGGGGGCGCACACAGCAGCTTCTATTCTGATTTTAGGTGCATCTCGTCCTCCCTACTTTACAGATCTGATCAAAACCAAATGGAGTATGGAGCATGGAGTAGAAAACAAGAGTTGGGATGTCTCTTATCTTTTTAGTCCAGGGTATCAAGACTCCTGCCTCTTCCTGCTGAAGCAGACACAGCTTTGCCACATCATCAATATTCCTTTTCTTTGTCTTCCCTTGAACTCCCACTGAGCCTTCCTGTCAGATCTACCAGGGTTGGTGACACTTGCTAATTATGTTAATGAGAGATTTTTAAGAATGTAATCTCATTTCTTGGGAGCTCTGCACTCCTAGTTAGCTCAAATGAGAGTCTGGGGGGAATGTGCAAATATGAGGTTCTCCATCTGTGCTCTGAAGTTCTTGGAGGGGATTCCACAAGCACTGACCTTCTTTCTTCAGTCAGCCAAACAATATTACCGAATACCAATCTTGCTTCCCTGCAATATCCAGTCTGTTTCACAGCAATCTGTCTCCTACATCCCTTCTCACAAAACAAATGCAGAGGCATCCCTCTGGCTCAGTTTTTCCTAAACTAAAACCTTGGTTACCTCAACAATGCAAACAGAAGAACTACATCAGTACTGGGGAAATCATCCATAATGTTAAGTGCACAGACACTCACAAGGGGAACAACACACTACTGTGCCAGGCTCAAAGATTCCTCTCAACAGTTTCCATTTATACTTCTTTTCCATTTGGATTTTCTCAAGGTCCTGCTTTTTATTCCCTCCTTCCAGTTCTCACATGAACTGATAAACAGGAGGCCACATTCACACCATAAAGGACTATGGTACCACCTTAAGCAGGCATGGCTCAAAGAATTCTGGGAGCTGTAGTTTAAGGGTGCTGGAGATTTTATTCCCCTCCCAGAGCTATGATTCCCAGAGTTCCTTAATATGAGGGATTGACTGTTAAACTACTCTGGAAACTGTAGCTGGCGGGGGGGGAGGGGAGGAAGAGGGGAATTAGAGTTCTCCTAACAACTCTCAGCACCCTTAATAAACTACAGCTCCCAGAAGCCATGACTGCTTAAAGTGGCATCATAGTGCTTTGAATGTATTGTGCGAATGTGGCCAAAGTCACTTTGCACCGCATAGCTGTTCTGTTTCAGACAATACAATAAAGCAAATCACCAACACCAGAAAGGCCAATACAGTCATACCTCGGGTTACAGCCACTTCAGGTTGCGTTTTTTTGGGTTACGGACCACCGAAACCTGGACGTACCGGAATGTGTTACTTCCGGGTTTCGGCGGTCGCACATGCGCAGAAGTGCTAAATCACGCTTTGCGCATGCACAAAAGCGCCAAATCTCAACCCGTGCATGTGGAGACACGCCGCTGCAGGTTGCAAACGCTGCGGGTTGCAAACGTGCATCCTGCACGGATCATGTCCGCAACTCAAGCATCCACTGTACCTGGAAACTGTTAAAGAAGCATTTCCTAAATAGCATGACAGATGTCATGAGATACTGGCCGCCTACTAACCTGTGCCAAATTTTACGCACGCTTAGTGTCCCAATTCTAAGTACAAACAGTACAGCTTATTTCCCAAGTGCTGTGTTTAAATTCAAGCAGTACGACAAATCAGCAAGACTCTGGTGCATGTAACCAGTGTACAATTGCAAAAATTAAGTATAGCAAACTAAGAAC